GCTAAATTTCTAGTTGTTGCCATTAAAAACACAAAATTAAGTTCCAGGTGGCAGGCTTAATGGTTCAACATCCAGATTCCCAAAATAGGTATAGAGGGGACTAGAGAGGTGTCCCTAGTTAAGTGGTCTTGTATTCTGGAATTTCTTAAATTCTCTGGATTCTGAGTGTAGTTCTGGCATTGGCTTAAACCTGGAGACAAGTAATTTAGTGTTTCTGCAGTCTGTTCTCATGTGGGTTAGTGCCCTTGTCTGTGTGTGTATGAGGTTAATGTTTGGTGTGTGCCTAACACAGTACAAACAGTTGAAGTCCCGAGAGGTAGAGAGGACTGCTTGTCTTTGCTACCTGCTATGTGAAGTTAGTAGAGGATGTTTCAAAGAGGAATCATGCTCTTATCACTCCTTCAGGTGGAGTTACATTTGTATGGGCAGAAGACTGAAGAATGGGATGTCAGGGGAGAGAGCTGCCTGGGAATGTCCAGCCTAGGATGTTTGTGAGACAGTGAGAGGAACTCACCCAAGTGGCCCTGTACATGGGCCACATCACACCTTTAGGTTGCTACTAAAGGTGTGATGGGGTAAGGCCATGGAGTAGCAAAAGAGTCTTTGGGAGCAGGGTGACAATTCAGTTTATCTTGTGTATTATTTTTGAGCAAAAAAAAAAAAGGCAATCTGAATAGGAAGTCAGTCCTCACGGAGAAAGGTTGAGCATCCTCTCAACTAAAACATTTGGACTGGCTGGCACAGTTGCTCACGTCTGTAATCCCAGCACTTTGAGAGGCCGAGGTGGGCGGATCACCTGAGATCAGGAGTTCGAGACCAGCCTGACCAACACAGTGAAACCCCGTCTCTACTAAAAATACACACACACACACACACACACACACACACACACAATTAACTGGGTCTGGGGGCAGGTACCTGCCTGTAATCCCAGCTACTCACGAGGCTGAGAAAGGAGACTCACTTGAACCCAGGAAGCAGAGGTTGCAGTGAGCGAAGGTCACACCATTGCACTCCAACCTGGGCGACGAGAGTGAAACTCTGTCTAAAAAACAAACAAACAAAAAATTTGGACTTATCCTTTGGTCTATTCTTTGTAAATTCTTATGTTAATATACCTTTTAGAAACATCTTACTCTCGACATCACATACTCTTGGATCTGCCATAATTTAAATGATGTTTCCCAAACAGATTTCCCCACAGAAAGGTCAGCTATGACTTGTCTGCCTGGTCTCTGGCTCCAGCCCCCATGTTTCAGTTCTTTACCTCCCAGTCCTTCTCTAATTAAACCTCCCCATCCTGTGTCTGTCTGATCCCCGAGGGTCCCACCAGGTGCCTGGTTAACTTGTCTCAAAGAAATGTATGGAATGAAGACGTTAAACATCGATAATGTAAAATATACAGTTACGTGAAGAGGAAATCTGACAAAGGAAAAGATGTTCAATCTCACTAGCAATCGGAAAAATGTAAATTTGAGATAATTTTTCAATCACCAAATGAACAAAGGTGAAAAAGAATGAAAATACCAGAGTCTGGGAGACTTTAGGGAAATGGAATATTTCATTGGTAGCAGTGGTCAGTGACACAAGCTTTCTGGAAAACAGTTTGGTAATGCTTGTTATAAATGTAAAAATGTGCAGACATAGCAATTCCACTTCTGAGAGTTTATCCTAAAAAAATTGTTGAGCAGGGACCAAGGATGTTCAGACCAGCCTTACCTGATAATAAAGAATAATTAGAAATAATCTAAATGTCCACCAATTGAGAACTGTTCTTATCAATTATGGTATGTTCAGACCGTGGAATACTAGAAAGACTTCAGAATGATGTTAGTACTAATAGACATGAAAAGATGTCCATTAGATATTATGCCCTTAAGGTCCTTGTGGTGACATTAATGTAAAGTTAATGCAACCTCGGCATGTGTGCACATATGCACAGGGAGATCTAGAATGGCAGTTACCAAAACATCAACCCCTCCTGCTTGAAGGAGCTTTAAACGACATTACTTTCTTCTTTTTATTGTTCCTAAAATTGCAAACTTTATTTTTAATTTAATAGCTAACATTAGCAGAGTATATTTTATGTGCTAGTCACTGCTCTAATTCCTGTATACTGTTATTATTACTGAAGAAATCAAAGATGATGAGAGATTAAGTAACTTACCTGAGATTCTCAGCTGGTAAATGATAGAGCTGGTATTCAAAATGTGATAGTATTGCTTCATAGACTGCACTCTTAAAAAAAAAAAAATTTAGTCAGAGTCTTACTCTGTCACCCAGGCTGGAGTACAGTGATGTAATCTTGGCTTCCAGGCCTCTGCCTTCCAGGCTCAAGTGATCCTCCCACCTCAGCCTCCCAAGAAACAGGGACCACAGCTGTGTGCCACCATGCCCACCTAATTTTTTAATATTTTTTGGTAGGGTCAGGGTTTCAACATGTTGCCCAGGCTGGTCTCAAACTGCTGAACTCAGGCAGTCCACCCACCTGGACCTCCCAAAGTGCTGGAATCACAGTCATGAGCCACCACACCCAGCCTAACAGACTGCACTCTTGCTACACTAATTAGTTTCAATAGAGTGAAAGTCTTAAATCCTGCCCCAACAACAATCCTACTCCTCTGCTCAAAGTAATCATTGTTTACCATTTGACATGGATCCCTCCAAAACTTTTGCTTTCTCCAGACACATGTGCACACACACACAAGTGTGTTTTTCTTTTTTCTAAAATGGGATGGTAGTGTCCGCCTGTCAGTATGTAAGTTCACCATCATATTTTTTATTTATCTCTGGGGAATATTCCACAGCATGAACATACAGAATTGATGCAATCATACTTCTACTGAAAACCTGGTCATTTCCAGTTCTTCAGCCTAACAGACAAAGCTTCATCGAGCATTCTCGTATACATATTACAGGGTGTGGCAGTGTAATTATATTCCTGTGTTCGTTCGTTTCCTAGAAATGGAACCATGGGTCAAAAGGCATGCACACTGAATGTTGAAAGAGGCTGCCCACACCAGGAAGGCTGTGTCATTACACCTGCAGTAGATGAGAGGCCATATCCCACGTTTTCACTGACACAGGAAGTTGTTGATCTTTTTGACTGATGCCAGTATAAGAAATGAAGAATGTTATTTCATTTGTAGTAATCTAAAAGTTTGTGATTACTGGTAAAGTTGAGCATATTTTCACATGTGTATTGGCCATCTTCATTTCTTCTCATAATTGTTTACTTTCTATTGGATAATTTGAGTTAATTGGATAATCTTATGAATTCAAAGGAGCATTGTTGTATTATAAATAGTCTTTTGATGCTTTCTTGTGTTGCAGATATTTTTCTCAGTAAAATCTTTTCTTTGAACTTGATTTATCTGTTATTTTACTATACAGAAGTTTTCATTTATTTTAGTTTTGGGTAATCAAATCTGTCCATTTTTTTTCTTTATGGTTTTATACCTTGTTTAAGAAGTCTTTCTCTACAATATTCTCCAAGAATATAAGATTACTCTCCTATAGTCTCTACTAATACATTTACATTTTTGCTTATAGATTTATTTTTATGTTTAGACTTTAATCCATGAAGAATTTAGTATTGTGTTTGGTGAAAAGTAGAGATTTAACTTTCTATTTTTAGGTTGATTGTCTTTAAACAACTCCTTCATCAAAACCCAAATTCCGTGACTGGGCGTGGTGATTCATGCCTGTAATCCTAGCACTTTGGGAGGCCTAGGTGGGCTGATAGCTTAAGCCCAAGAGTTCAAGACCAGCCTGGGCAACATGAAGAAACCCCGTCTCTACAAAAAAATACAAAAATTAGCCCGGCATGATGGCATGTGCATCTAGTCCCAGCTACTTGGGAGGCTGAGGTAGGTAGATTGCCTGAGCCCAACTGGTCGAGGTTGCAGTGAGCTGAAATCATGCCACTGCACTCCAACTTGGGTGAGACTCTGTCTCAAAAAAACCAAAAAATCCCTGAATTCCCATGGATATAAAGGTCTGTTTCTGAGCTGTTGTGCCATTGATCCCTTGTCTATATCTGGCCTGTAATCACACTACTTTAATTATTGAAGCTTCTCTGCAAGTTTTTGTATGTGCTAAGCTATCCCCATATCTCTTCATTTTTGAACTTACCTCAACCATTCTGATACATTTTCTTTTTTAAGAGGATCTTTAGAATTAGATAATCATGGTCCAAAAGTCCTCCCTTGGGATTTCAATTGTAATAGATTGGAGCTACTCATGCATTTGTGGTTAGTTGACATCTTACAAAGGGGAACTAAGGTCTCCAGCCAGGAGGACTCCTTGCTCCCCTGGCACTCTCTGAGGCCTTTCTTCTTGCACACCTCCACTCCAGCCTATGATTCCAAGGCTTCTAGAAAGGACAGATTCCTACACATCGTTGGTTTAATTTCTTTCCTTCCCCAGATGGCCTGTGGATTTTTACATGAACTTTCAGAGGGAAAAGAGTGAAAAGCATGAAAACCTCAGACCTTGCAGGGAAACAGAGAGAAATAGTTTTCGTCAGGGAACATTTTTTCTGCTCCTGGCAAATCACACTGAACACTCATGTGTGAACAGCCTGGGGTAATCAGGTTCCAGTTGAGGCTTTTTTTTTTTTTTTTAAAAACAGCTTTATTGTTCTAAAATAACTTAAAATTCTATCATTGTAAGTGTACTGGTAAATGATTTTTAGTAAATATATGGAATTATGCAACCGTCACCATAATCCAATTTTAGAATATTTCCATCACTCCCAGAAGATCTCTTGTGCCCTTGTATAGTCGTTCTCTGGATGCCACTTTGTCCTTAAATGACAGCATCAGAAGTAGGGGACAAATGAGGGCATCCCCAAGAGATCCTCTGCCTGTGAGTCTAGGACCAACACCGTAACCACATACATAGCATGACCCCACATGATACCGCTCTCTTGGGGAAACCCAGCTGGGGCCTCCTCCTGAGGGCCCTGGTCACACTGAACCCCATCCTTACCCTTCCAGGTGGATAAAGTTTGAAGAAAAGGTAGAGGAAGGCGGCGAACGCTGGAGCAAGCCCCACGTGTCCACACTCTCCCTGCACAGCCTCTTCGAGCTCCGTACCTGCCTGCAGACGGGGACAGTGCTGCTGGATTTGGACAGTGGCTCCTTACCACAGATCATAGGTGAGGCAGAGGCCACTGTGTGCATCTCTCCTGTGGTCCTTTGCAAACCAGGGCAGCTCCCCTGACCTCATGCCTGCCCTGGAGCCTGTGTGACTGGCCCATCTCTGACACCTGATTCTGCAGAGACCAGCTTTGACTCTGTTGCTCCCAGGGCAGGATCAAAGCTGCCCCAAGTTTCAGTTCCACACAGACCTCCAGCAGAGAGGAAAAGACCGTCCTCCAAAATGCTATCCAGAAATGTAGCAAAAGGGGAGAGGGCCTCTTGGCATGGTCAAAGACACCTCTTGCCATGATAACCCATTTCTTTTCAGGGTAAAATGGGTCATTATTCATCTTTAGGAAATTAGCTATCATTTAGTGGTGTGTCAAAGGGAGGAGGTAGCTTGCCTTAACACCCCTAAAATTTTTTGTCAGTTTTGTTCCAGCACATTGGGTTTTTCCAGAATCATTTTACCCAAAATGCTTTTCTAAAAAGAATTCATTTTAGGACTAAAACCATTGAACACAATACCTTCATGCTTTCTGCGGCAATTTCATATGGACTGTTTATTTCACTTTTCATAAGAACATTGACAGAGCAGAGTCTTACATACATACACACACATGCATACACACACACACACACACACACACACAGACATGCATGCGCCCTTGAACAGGAAACCAAGAGTTGGTGATGTGCCCAGTTTTCCACAGTTAGTGGCAAAGCCAGAAGTATTTCCACACACCCACTGACACCTTGAGCTCACATTTAATCCCACTCATAACAGGTAAAACTGAAGACCCCCACACCCTGGGGCTGTTCTGTCCACAGGGACGAAGTGTGTTTGTTTTCCATGCAGATGATGTCATTGAGAAGCAGATTGAGGATGGTCTCCTGCGGCCAGAGCTCCGGGAGAGGGTCAGTTACGTCCTCCTGAGGAGGCACCGTCACCAAACCAAGAAGCCCATCCACCGCTCCTTAGTCGACATTGGGAAGTCAGTCTCTACCACAAGTGAGTTGGGGCTTACGCTGGTGGGCATGGGACATGCAGGGCCAAGTATCAGGCCCTGGTATCCAGGTGAGCCCATTTTAGGGTCTGGGAGTTTCTGGAGAAATTCTGATGTTTGGGAGATCCCTCAGCCTCCTTCTCTGGCAGGCCTGCAGGGATCCCAGCCACACTCCCATGTTGTTCCTACCACCAGAGCAGAACACTTTCTGGGAAGAGAACTGGTTTTCAGCTAGGGCTGCACATTGTAAATCACTTTGGGGCTCAAGACGCGTCCTAATGCCTTGGCCCCATCCTGGAGAGTTGGAGTCAGTTGGTCTGGGGTATGGCCTAGGAAAAGAGAGAGAGGTTAGAACATACCCCAGGAGATTCCCATGTCACACAGCATTGGGAAATGATGGTAGAGATGGCTTGCTTATGCAAAAGACCCAAAAGTTTCACATAAAACCCCTTGGAGTAGTCAAGAGCCTCAGCAGAAAATGGAACACAACAGGGTGATAGAAGGGGCAGGGCTTATCTCAAGAGTGCCAGGGCTTGTAGACCAGGTGGCTGATGTTACTCCGATTAACAGGACGTGGGACCATTCAGAGAGGGTGGATTGTTCCATGCACACATCTGAAATATCCAACACTCCACTATCCTATTTGAGCCTAGATGCCCAGAGACATTAGCCCTGCTGAGCCTGTCACACAAACACAGTAACCAGAGCTAAGTTGCTAAATTAAAAACACCGAGGAACCTCTTTAAATGAATTACTTAAAAATGGGAAGTGACCTGGGCATGGTGGCATACACCTGTAATCCCAGTACTTTGAGAGGCCAAGGTGAGCGGATTGCCTGAGCTCAGGAGTTTGCGACCAGCCTGGGAAACATGGCATCCACCCAATTTCTACAAGAAATACATAAACTCTATGGTTTAACCCCATCTCTACAAAACCCCATGGCATAAACCCCACCTCTACAAAAAATTAGACGGGCGTGGTGCCATACACCTGTAGTCTCAGCTAATCAGAAGGCTGATGGGGGAGGATCGCTTGAACCCAGGAGTCAGAGGTTGCAGTGAGCTGAGGTCATGCCATAGCACTCCAGCCTGGGTGAGAGAGCAAGACCTTGTCTCAAAAAAACCCCCAATAAACAATGGGAAGTGTTTCACATACCATAATAACAATAGATACATACTCAGCACTTACCACATGCTGGGCACTATTCTGAGTGCTCTTCCTGTTTTAACTCACTTCATCCTCACAAAAACACTGTGGTGTGTAGGTACGGTTCTTGTCCCCATTTTACAGATGAGACGCCTGAGGCACAGAGAATTTAAGTAGCTTGCCTAAGGTCACATAGCCCGTAAGTGGTAGAATCAGGGATGAACCCAAGCAGTCTACTACACCTTGTATCCATTTAATCAATTGTGTATCTATCTCACTTTCAACAGTACAGATAGTCTCTCTGTAATCTTGTTTTGTCTTTGTTTTTGTTTTTTGAAACCGAGTCTCACTCTGTCACCCAGGCTGGAGTGCAGTGGCACAATCTTGGCTCACTGCATTTTCTGCCTCCTGGATTCAAGCAATTCTCCTGCCTCAGCCACCCAAGTAGCTGGGACCACAGGTGCCCAACACCACACCTGGCTAATTTTTGTATTTTTAGTAGAAACAGTGTTTCACCATGTTGGCCAGGCTGATCTCGAACTCCTGACTTCAGGTGATCCACTTGCCTCAGCCTCCCAAAGTGCTGGAATTACAGGCATGAGCCACTGTGCCCAGCCTGTAATCTTGTTCAGACTATTGACTTGCTTAAATGAAAAAAAAAAAATTCTTCCTGGAAGGGGAAGAGACATGTCTTGTAGCCCAGTTTTATTTAGTTAAAGTAAACTAACCTGAGAGGCTTTGCTATACCAGCAAGGCTGTTGAAGCCAAGTCCGTTCTGATTCTCCTCTCAGATCGCAGTCCTGGCCGGAGCCCTGGTGCTGGCCCGACTCTACACCACTCCACGGAGGACCTGCGGATGCAGCAGAGTGCAAATTATGGACGTCTGTGTGAGTGTGTGCTCCGCCGCTCTGTGGCAGCTTTGTTTAGGCTGTGGCAGCTGTGACATGGCCACATTGCCATAGTTGGGGGAGACAAAGCCCAGGATCTGCCAAGAATTCTCAGGGCATGGATTGGGAGAAGCCTAACTTTCACTCTAAACCTGGGTTGCTGTCAGGGCCTCATTTACTACCTTAGTATTCAAGTCATTCCTCTGAAAAATGAGGCTCTCAGTCATATCCTGATGTAATCAATACCCACTCCCATGTTCCAGGCATTCTTATCTCAGTTTGTATCTTCATCTTCACCAAACTGACATTAACCCTGCTTTTTGGTGAAAAGCTTTCCTGGAAACGGAATTAAAAAAAAAAAAAGCAAGATCCTTTCCTTCGCTTCAGTCAGGCAGCATTCCCATCACTGGGTGGCAGTCTCGTACCACCACATGGAGAAGAAATGTGGGCAGAGTCAGGGCCCCTTTTTGCTGGGAATGGATGGTGTGCGGGGGTGGTTTGAGGTGAGAGGTCACAGACAGGCTTTTTACGCAGCTTGTCAGGGATACACAGACAGGCAAGCTGGAGGAAAGAAAGGAGCCAACTTAGAAAAGGAAGAGAAAAAGAAAAAGCAGTGAAGGACTATTTTCCTTCTGGTACTTTTGCTAAAATGCCAAGATGTTAACAAGTGCAGCCCAGTGCTGTGCTCGTCCATGCCCAAGGAGTGACTTGGGGGGCAGTGTAGCCCCTGCCCATGGCCTTGGCCATAGTAGGTGTTTTCTGCAGTCTTTGCTCTGTCCTGATGGCCCAAGTCCACTTAGTCTCCCCTGGCCTGGTTATTCCACACAGGGATGCCCAGTGAGTGTTCAGTGGGTAGTCAGTGGCTTCGGGAAGACCTTCCACTCAGTTGTCATTGTATATGAGGTCACCTCCCTACCGACACTGCTTGGGGGTGGGAACCACTGGGACAAGAGGCATGAGTGGATGGTTACAGCTTTGTGTGAACCAGGTCATATTCAAGGTGGTCACCCACCCTGAGGTGGCCCAGCATGCAGAACACAGGGCACAGGGGAAGGATCAGAAAAGAGGAGACATGACTGAGTCTTGGAGCATAAACAGAAGTTTTCCAGGAGCAAGGAGGAGGAAGAGGGGGTTCTAAACAAAGGTAACAAGTAGCAGGTTGGGGGAAGAAAGAGAAGGAGCTGGAGGTAAAGAACATCAGTTCAGTTTACAGGAAGTGCAGGGGTTAGGGGGAAGAGAAGGTCAAAGCAAAGAGGGCCTTGTACACCCAGCAAAAGAACCTGGATTCTAGTGGGGCATGGTGGCTCACTCCTGTAATCCCAGAACTTTGGGAAACCAAGGCGGGCAGATCACCTGAGGTCAAGAGTTCGAGATCAGTCTGACCAACATGGAGAAACCCCGTCTCTACTAAAAATACAAAATTAGCTGGGTGTGGTGGAGCATGCCTGTAATCCCAGCTACTTGGGAGGCTGAGGCAAGAGAATCGCTTGAACCTGGGAGGTACAGGTTGTGGTGAGCCCAGATCGTGCCATTGCACTCCAGCCTGGGCAACAAGAGTGAAACTCAGTCTCAAAAACAAAACAAAACAAAACAAAAAACCCAGATTTTATTCTGAAGGTAATAGGAAGCTTAAAGCAGGAGCATGCTGTAATCAGATTTCTGTCCAAGTAGGAATAAACTAGAAGGGGCAAGATTGGCAAGTAGGAGGTGAGGAAGAAGGAGGGTCCAAGGCTGCTCCTAGATTTCTGTCTGAAGGGCTGATGGATGGGAGGGAGAGGCATTGAGTGGAATGTGTCTGTGAGGGGAGTGATTTGGTGGAAGGTAAAGAGTTGTGTTTGAGGTGCCAGAGTGGGCTTCTCCGAGGAGTCTGCAACTCAGAAGAGGGGTCAGACTAAAGATCCATCCTGGGCATCCTCAGTCCAGATGGGTGTTGGAAATAATAGGAGTGGGGGTTATTGACCAGGGTAGAGACTGAGGCATCTGGAGGGGATGAGAGCAAAGATAAGGCCCCAGGAGGCCCAAGCAGGAGAGGATCCTGGGACAGAAATGAGAGGAGGAGAGCTGAGAGGAGCCATGTTCCAGACACCAGGAGTGGCACAGGCCAATAGCCGAGACACGATAGGTCTGAGGGTATCCACCGGACTGGGCTAGTGGGAAAAGAGAGCTGACTTTCTCCCCCTTAACAGGGGAAGGAACTATTGGGCAGTCCAAATAATTGACTGTCACCCTTCTCATGGGGAGGCCACCTTCCTTCCCTCTGTCAGCCTAAATCGCCAGCCCATCTTTAAATATTCTCACTGGTCATGGAGGACAGAGGTGAAACTGCTCCCCTCTCCAGCAAATTCCAAGCTTAGTGACACATGGCCCCTCATCTAATAATGCATCTGTTGTCCCTCCCCCTATCCAGGGCTGGTGCAGAGCCAGACCCAGAAGGTGGAGTGACGTCCAAGAAGATGGAGTCGAAGAGTAGAGACTAGAGTGCAGTAGATTGAGGAGGGAGAAGCAAACAGTGGAATCTGGAGTCTGACACCTCTTTCAGGAAAGCCATTAAATGGAAGGAAAGTGAGAAGATGCTAGCTTAAGGGAATTTAAGGATTAAGGGGGGAGGGACTTGCTTTGGTTATGAACATGGGAGAGGCATGAGTAGGGGCCATAGAAAAGGGACCTATGAGAGCCTGGCTTCCCCTGATGGATCTTCCTTTCCTTCTCTCCTAGGTCATGCCCAGAGCAGAAGCATGAATGACATTTCTCTCACCCCAAACACAGACCAGGTAGTAAAATCCCTGCACTTGGCTGCAATGGAGGGCCAGGGCAGGAGGAAGTCTTTGGTTTCAGGGGCAGAGATCCCCTATGGGCAGAATTCCACTCCTACAAAGGAGTGGGAGTTCCAGGAAGGTCCCCAGTGGGGACTCTGGGCCACCTGGGGTACTCTGCCAAGCCCAGCAGTCAAGGACTGATTGAGTCCCAGGTGCTGGCTCTATGTCAGGCCCTCAGGCTGTGGGACAGAGAACATGATCAAATGAGGTGCCAGCTGTCCTTGAGCTCGGCATTTGTTGAAGAGAAAAGACCAGCACACATGGCTTCATCTCCGCTGTGACCCACAGGCAACTTTAAAGTTGGGATACAGATTGGGGCTGGCAGAGAGACGGAAAAGAGTCTTCCTGTGGGGAGAACAGTGGTAGTTAATTGCTTAGACTGTCCAATAGCACATCTTCTTCCTGTAGTCTCCCATGAGCTGGACTGAAACTTCCTTGATGAGACCAGAATCCTACCAACAGGTTGGGTCCAGTTCTAAGTCCCACAGCCCCAGAATCCTGTGACTGTGCCCCTTGGGGAAGGCCAGAGGAGGCCCCCTCAATTCCAACTCCTGCACACCTCAAGGACAGGAGGTCCCGTGGTCCCCTTGTCTGTCTCCCTAGGAATAGGAAGAAAAATGACAATGGAAACCTGAAACTTGGCCAGGAGCCTTCAGGAGCTTGGGTGACCTGTAAGCCTTCCAGGCATCACTAAGTTTGGTGGAAGGCAAAACAAAGTTAGCCCCTCATGTCAGTGTCCTGGGCAAAAATAAACAATAACAAAATCAACCAACATTTACAGTCCACACTGCATGCGCTACACTGTGCCAGGCATTTTCTATGAATCACAAAGATACTATTTTCATTCCCATTTTACTCATGAGAGAACACTGAGGCTTACGGCAGTTAAATAACACACGCAAGTCTATAGAGCTGAAAGGCAGAACTTTGATTTGACCTAGGCAGTCTAACTTCCTAGAGCTCTTAATTTTGGAGTAATTTAGGAACTAATCAGTACTCTGGAACATTATTTGCAAAGGAAAACCACTTTTAGTCATGCACACAGACAGTGGTACTGTAGTAAGAAAGCATTTCCTAGTAAAAGGTTTTCAGAACCTATTTTAATGAATGTGTGACTGATAATAACAACACTAGCTGTCACTTTCAGCAGGCAGGGCTTCCTTGATTTAGGGATTGGAACTCACCACCTAGCACCAGCGTCTAGTTCTCCTTGCTGATACCTGATGCTGCAAATACTGAGAAGCAGCATCAGTGGTCTATGCCAGTGGGCGTTCTTTAGGAGCAAGCCCAGAGGCATTTGCTCCGCAGGCTCTTTCTTCATCATTGGTTTATACAAGACTAAACTTCATTCCTGCCCTGAGTCAGCAGATTCCCAGTGAACAGAGAGTAGATTCAGACAGTATCATTGTGCTGCAGTGACTCCAAGGGTTCAGGAAGTGGAGTCAACAGGGCCCTGATTATACAAACCCATGTCCAGGCTGCGGGCAAGCCAGAGTTGGTCAGAACACTAGCATGTTCCTATTTCTGGGATGCCACAACCCTGGCCTCCTTACCAAACAAGTCACAATGTGTAAGGAAGGACCAAATCCCTGGTTTAGTTTCTCTTCTCTCCTGGATTACAAGTGGGTTGGTTTGATGGCCAGGTGTTATGGCTCACATCTGTAATCCCAGCACTTTGGGAGGCTGAGGCAGATGGATCACTTGAGGCCAGGAGTTCCAGACCAGCCTGGCCAACACAGAGACCCTCTGTTTCAACCAAAAATACAAAAATTAGCTGGATGCGATAGCATGTGCCTGTAGTCCCAGCTACTTGGGAGACCGAGGCTGGAGAAGCTCTTGAACCTGGGAGGAGGAGGTTGCAGTGAGCCGAGATCGTGCCACTGCACTCCAGCCTGGGTGACAGAGCGAGACTCTTGTCTTGAAACAAAACAAAACAAAAACAAAAACAAGTGGGTTTGTTGGGACACCCTGAAGCATTGCTGCTTCCAAAACCTCATTCTCCAGGGTGCTCCTGCTTAGCCCGCTTCTCCTCCCCTGCCCTGGATCCCCTCCCTGCCTGATGCTCAGAGATGGTGGCTGCCCTGGTACACCCAGCTCTCCACCCTGAAGAATGCTGCTTATTAGTCAGCTGACCATGCCTGAGACAAAGGGACTTTTTGAGTCTCGGGGACTCTGGTGTTCCTGTCAATTTCTGCTTTTTCTCACTATGTTAGGATCCTTGAGGCTGCTGATGGTTGCCTGGGTGGTTGTGGAGGGATTTTTTGCTGATTGGATTTAAAAGATTATAAGGGTGCAGGCCTTGCTCGTACTGGTAGGCCACCTAGCCCAGTGTGTATCATGCCCCCACATAAGTCAAATCAGGAAACAGCTGTGGGCATAAAAGGGCAGGACCTGTTGACCATATCCATGCCTACAGCTGACCCCTCCACAGGGACAGGAAGAGACACAAGGAACCTGTGTCTTCACTGAGCCTGTGAGAAAGACAGGTCTGTGTCCATAGGAAAGTCTCCAGCAGAGGGGGAGATTGGTGGGAAATTGTGATGTTCACAGGTGCTTTCTTTAGAGCTGTCCTCTGCCACCAGGCTCTTTCCTGTTGTTTCAACCACCGTGGACTGCACTCAGCCCTGCTACCACTGCAACTGCTCCCCCTCTGTCTTCTGACAAAATTATCTCTGTCTCTTGTCTGTCCGTGCCGTTGCTGCCCAGAGGGAAAGCAATCTGAAAAAGGAATTCATTCTAAGATGTTAAGGACTAAGAAGAGCTTGAAAGTGATCATCCCTGGGTTATTTTCAGAATAAAAAAGGACTCAGGAAGAATGAAGTTATAAACACAGAGAGTGGGAACACATTTGAGTGGAGGGCTTGTCTCCAATACCTCTCACATCAGACCCCACTGGCTCTGCCTGTATGACCTACCTCCCCTGAAGAGACACTAGCCAGAGGGACTGGAGAGAGGCAACCTTGATAGTCTCCACTGGAAAATCTCAGAAGTTATTAATTTCCTGGGAGGTACCCTAGGGCTAACTTGGGGGCACGGAAATCTCCCGGACTTTGAGACTGGTCCAAGAAGTCCTGTGAGCCAGGAAGCTGGTGGCAAAGGGAAAACAAGGCCTATCTACTTTGACCATCAGAACAGGCCTCCTCCTCCCCACAGCCACCAAAAGTGAAGGTGGAGGGCGGGGCGGGCTTCTGGGTGGCTGGAGTAGAAGCACTGACACTCCCATCTGCTCAGCCTGGAAGAGGCCATCCAGTGAGGCCTGATGTCTGGCAAACCTGGGGCTCTTCTCTGACCCCTCAACCCACAACTCAGTGGAACAGTTTTCATCCATCAAGAATATCTTAGGGCCAAGTCACTGCCAGTTCCTTCCCATCTACAAAGCTTGATGGTGCCTGGGGTTCACCTGCATTCAGTCTCCCCACTGCAGAATTGGGAGAGTACTTGGTTATTCTTTCAGTCTCTTGGCAACATTGGGAGAATTTTTTTCAAGTTAGGCCTGAAAGCAGTCTGAAGGGGAGTGAGGGAGGGAGAGCAGGTGGGAGTCTCCATGGCTATCTCGTTTTCCCTCCCTGTCCAGCGGAAAAACAAATTCATGAAGAAGATCCCCAAGGACTCAGAAGCCTCCAACGTGCTCGTGGGCGAGGTAGACTTCCTAGACCAGCCATTCATCGCGTTCGTGCGCCTCATCCAGTCAGCCATGCTGGGAGGAGTGACAGAGGTGCCTGTCCCCACCAGGTGAGAGCCATTGAAACCTGTCCCCATGCCACCCTCAGGGAGCCAGATGTCCATGCAGTCAGCAAGCAGGGCTGTTGATTGTTAGTGCTCTTGGAGACACCTCTAAATGTGGAGGTTGCTGGGAAGGGATATCTTCTAACTAGGGAAGAGTTTTAGAGTTTATTAAAAATCATAAAAGAGGAGGCAACAACTGGGAGAGAAGTTGTCAGGTGGGCGTTGGCAGCAAGACGAAGGTGAGGATACTCAAGGGGGAGCCTAGGGGAGGGGAAGAGGAAATGTTCCTCCAAAGCAAACATAGGGTTCCACAGAGGGAAGTAAAAAAGTTAAAATGGGCTGGGTGCAGTGGCTCATGCCTCTAATCCCAGCATTTTGGGAGGCCAAGGTGGGTGAATTGCTCAAGAATGGAGGCCAGCCTGGGCAGCATGGTGAAACCCTGTATCTACTAAAAATATGAAAAATTAGCTGGGCTTGGTGGTGCACACCCATAGTCCCAGCTACTCAGGAGGCTGAGGTGGGAGGATCACTTGAACCCACAAGGTGGAGGTTGTAGTAAGCCAAGATTGTACTACTGCACTCCAGCCTGGATGATCGAGTGATCACAAAAAAAAAAAAAAAAAGGTTAAGAATGGATATTGTTTGGGACCAAAAAACTCTTTTCACCTGCTTCTATTTTTTCTTCTCCCTTTCATGCTCCTCTTCCTTCATCTTCTCTGTCTCCTCCTCCATCTTCTTTGCAGATTTCTGTTTATACTGCTGGGACCTTCTGGGAGAGCAAAATCCTACAATGAAATTGGCCGTGCCATTGCAACCCTCATGGTAGATGATGTAAGTGGTAACCAGAAGCTTGTACTCCTGAATTTTATGCCTCCTGCACCAAGCACTGCACCTTCATTCATTAACTTATCCAGCTAGCACTTTGGAGCACCTGCTGTGTACCAGGCACTACGTAGGATGCTAAAGATGAAGAGAATTGGGGAATAGTCATTGTCCTTTAGAACCAATCAAGCGTGAGGGACAAATTGATAATTATAAAACTTACCATGTGCTAGCTGCCCAGGGGGTCAAGGAGGGCTTCACAGATGAAGGGGCTTTAAAGCTAAGAAGGAGCAGGAGGAAGGTAGACCCAGCACCAGGCTACGAGGCAAGCATTCTAGACAAAGGAAATGAATGGGTCAGGCTCAGAGAAGCTAGATGGAGGTGGTTTGATGTAGGCTCAGTGTAAGAGCTTCAAGGGAAGGAGGTGACACTGGAGAGGTGAGCCAGAGACTACACAGAGCCTGTAAGCAGAGCTGAGTCACACTGTGTCTCCAGAGTGTTGGGGAGCCTAGAGGACTTTAACTCTTCCCTTTTGTGCCAAAAATACTCACGGGTGGCACTTGCGGCTGCAGCCTTTACCCCGAGATAACCTTTCCCCACAAAATGTCTCATTTTTATTATTTTCACATTGCTCCAGTATGTTGATTTTAGAAACAAAAGACATCATTGTACTTATAGCATTCTGTTTTTAGTTGTGGTATTTCCATTTACAAAATACAGTAATTCTCAATGACTGAAAATATCAAATCCTAGAAAACTAGCATTCCTACAAGTGATGGTAACATCATTCTTGAACAGTTGTTGGCCTAAGATTCATTTGATGAATCCACTGTTTCCAGAATAGATGTTTCTGATTATTCCAATGATTTTGATGTTAGTTCTGTTTAGAAATAACTCCAAGAATAGTTTTTATATTTCATTTTCACATTGAAAATCAGATTTGCTTTGGCCTCAAAGAGTGTGTTCATGTATAATTAGATGATCACTAGCAGTGAGCTGCACTTTTCTTTTCCTAAATGGGAAAAGGGTTAAACATGAGCATAGCCCCATGGAATCTGGAAGTCAGAAAGCACACTCTGGAGACAGTGTGAATAATGCAGGCTGAGCCTCTAAGGGTGAAGGGCTGGGAGTAAAAATTGGAAGTGAAATATCTGAGCTCTTTGGATTGGGCTCTACAGAGGTTTTCTAATGTGTGTGCTTTGTGAAAAATGGAAACCAGAAATGTTAAGTAACTTGACCAAAGTCCTGAAAGCAAGAATATGGAGACCTGGCCTTCAGGTCCAAGACAGGCTGTCTTCCCCCAGTGCCTGCTGTGTCCTGTTGTGCCATATTTTACCAGCGTGCTATGGCCTCCCAAAAACTGAGAGTAAGTTGGCAGTGGGAGATGTGGTTCCATGATTTATTTAAAAACTAGATGTGGTATGCTCCTGGGCACATCACAAAGAGACCTGACCTTTTTTTTTCTCCCTCCTCTCTCCTCGCCAGCTCTTCAGCGACGTGGCCTACAAAGCCCGAAATCGGGAAGATCTGATCGCAGGAATTGATGAATTTCTGGATGAGGTCATCGTCCTTCCTCCTGGAGAATGGGACCCAAATATCCGAATTGAGCCCCCCAAGAAGGTGCCCTCTGCTGACAAGAGGTGTGTATGAGGATGGGGAATAGGGAGAGAAAAAGGAGGCTTCAACTCTGTCTGTATTGTTCTATTTCTCTTTAAAATACATCTGAGGCCCGGCATGGTGGCTCATGCCTATAATCTCAACACTTTAGGAGGCCGAGGTGAGCGGATTACTTGAGCCCAGGAGTTTGACAGCAGCCTGGGCAACATAGTGAGATCTTGTTTCTGCAAAAAAAAAAAATTTAGCTGGGCATGGTGGCACACAACTGTAGTTCCTGCTACTCTGGAGGCTGAGGCAGGAGGATTGATTGAGCCCAGGAGGTCAAGGCTGCAGTGGCTATGATCATGCCACTGTATTCCAGCCTGGGCAACAGCATTTGACCCTATCTCAAAACAATTTTTAAAATAAGTTTGAAAATAACGAGATGGCCAGGTGCAGTGACTCACGCCTATAATCCCAGCACTTTGGGAGGCTGAGGCAGGCAGATCATGAGGTCAAGAGTTCAAGACCAGCCTGACCAAAATGGTGAAACCTCATCTCTACTAAAAATACAAAAATTAGCTGGGTTTGGTGGCATGCATTTGTAATCCCAGCTACTCAGGAGGCTGAGGCAGGAGAGTCGCTTGAACCCAGGAGGCAGAGGATGCAGTGAGCCAAGAAGATGCCACTGCACTCCAGCCTAGGCCACAGAGCGAGACTCCATCTCAAAAAAATAAAAATAAAAATAATAAGCAATATCAGAAGCAAATATGGCTAAATGTGAACATTTGTAAAATCTAGGTGACCTGCATGTGGATAGTGTTAGATCATTTTCTGCATTTATGTCTGTCTTCTAAGATATTTCATAATTTTGGTTGGAGAGGTGAGGGGTGCTCTGGGGTCCTCCCCTCCCTCATCCCCCTTCTCTTCCAGGAAATCTGTGTTCTCCCTAGCAGAGCTGGGCCAGATGAATGGCTCTGTGGGAGGAGGTGGCGGAGCTGCTGGAGGAGGCAACGGAGGTGGTGGTGGTGGCGGCGGGGCCAGCGGTGGTGGTGGGGCCGGCGGAACGAGCAGCGGGGATGATGGAGAGATGCCAGCTGTGCACGAAATCGGGGAGGAGCTTATCTGGACAGGAAGGTGCCCACCCCAGGCCTCACAGTGACCCTGCTGTCCTTTAGACTTCTCTTCTCAGCTGCCTTTCCCAACCATGGCCTGTAGTGCCTACTCAAGTTACCCCTGCCTTCTTTCCCTCCCAGAGCCCTTGAGCCCCATCATGGATCCCCAAAAAGGGTTGCCTCAGGAGAGGGGAATTTGAGACCCTATATAAGAGAAGAACCCAAACTTTTCTCTTAGACATCCTTTGGTGCCTGTTTCCTGGGTCTGCTGTAACAAAGTCCACAAACTAGGCAGCTTAAAACCACAGAAGGTTACTCTCCTGCAGTTCTGGAGGCCAGCAGTTCCACAACAGGGGTTGGCAGGACCACCATGCTCCCTGAGGCTCTGGGTGGAATCCTTCCTGGCCTCCTCCTGGCTTCTGGTGGTGGCCCGCAGTCCTTGGTGTTCCTGGATGGCAGCTGCAACACCCCTGGCTCTGCCTCTCTACCACATGGCCTCCTGTGTGTCTCTGTCTTCACAGAGTACTTTCCTGTGTATAAGGACACTAGTCATATTGGATTAGGGCCCACCCTAATGACTTCGTCTTAACTGGATTACATCTGTATAGATGTTACATAGATGTTAGGGCCTTAATATATATCTTTTGTGGGGACACGATTCAAAAAGTACCTTTTTTTAAAACTTAATTTATCTATTCACTTCCTAAATTACCCCAGGAGACATTTCTTTTTTTTCTTTTTTTAAGAAAATATCTCCTGGCCTGGGTTTTTTTTCCAGCTCTTGGAGCCACTCAGGTTGATCTAGATTTAGGAAAGGATATGGCCTTGCAAATCTATATGTAAATCATGGCTTTGAGAGCGAAGTCATGGTTTAAATGCCCTTGACTTTATACCAGTGGTTCTCAACTTTGGCCCTCCTTAGTCCCCCTACCCCAGAGTCCATAGGATTTGGCAATGTCCAGAGACATCTTTGTCTGTCACAACTGGAGAGGTGATATGCTACTGGCATCCAGCAGGTAGCTGCTAAATATCCTGCAGTGCATGGCACAGCCCTTACAGCAAAGAAGTATCCAGTCCAAAATAGAACTGAGGTTGAGAAACTGCTCCATGCTAAGGACTGCACTGGGCGATATGGGAATAGCAATCCCAGTAAACAATGTCTCCAAACCTAAAATCTCCCACTCAACTGTTCCAGATAGAAAAATTAAAAAAAAACAAATACCAACCAGTTATAAGGTTTAGAATCTATTTTTAATGAGTCTGTTATAATCTGGGATGCTCTGTCACCGAAAGTTAGACACACCTGTATTCACCAAGAGCAGACACCCTGCAGATGATCAGGGATGTGAGAAGGACTGCCATCTGTGGACCCCAGGACTTCCATTCTCCATGGAATGTTAGGTCTACCTTGGGACGTATTCCCATCAGACTTTCCCTCTCCAAAACCTGCTGCGTCCACCCTTCCCAGTGTGGGGTGTGCCAACCACAAACTCAGTCCTACAGGAATTCATCCCTGGCCCTAAATGTTCTGGTGGAAAGATCTTTGCCCCATCCACTCTGGTCAAGTTCCTTTCCTTGCCCCAGACTCTGCAGGTTCTTGTAAATAGCCCTGCCCCTGCACTAGTTTTAGTGGTAAGAAAGCAGCCCCCGGCCTGTCTTGAGCAGGTTCTTCGGTGGCCTGTGTCTGGATATCAAGAGGAAGTTGCCCTGGTTCCCAAGTGACTTCTATGATGGCTTCCACATTCAGTCCATCTCTGCCATCCTATTCATCTACCTCGGCTGTATCACCAACGCGATCACCTTTGGTGGGCTTCTGGGGGATGCTACCGACAATTATCAGGTGTGTGTGAGCTGGGGACCTGAGTGTAAAAGTAAGATCTGCCACCACCTGGTGGCAGCAGGGAGCTTCATCCTGTAATTCCCAAAACCAAGGTTTCATCTACCATCCAGGTCGAGACCATCACTATTTGTAACCCTTTAGCCTTCAAATAATAATAATATGACAGTATTAAAAGATCTGAAACTAAATCTCATTACTAAAGACCAAATTTAATGATGCTTTAAGTAGGTCAAACTGTTAAGGGGAATCATCTGCTGCGTTATTTGATACTCTTCCCACTGATACTAGTCAATTTAATCAGAAAATTAATGGAGTGCCTTCCCCCCACACTTTTTAAAAACCAACCTTGAATTATTAGTTTGGAGTTAAGACATTTTTAGAAGGATGGTAAGCTGTTACTATGACAACAACTCAGGCCTCCCTGGGGAAAACAGCTCAGCAGAGACACACACCAATCTCTTAGGCAAGGGTCTTCTTTGGTGGAGGTCTTAAAAGTAGAGCCATTGGAAAGCTCAGTGCCCCAAGGAGAAGACCCATTTTTCTGGTGCCTCCTAGGCATGTCCACATGGCTGCCCCTCAGGACACCCCAGTTCACACAGCTGACATTGCATCCATTATCTTCCTTCCTGACCTGCTTCTCCCTGGCCTTTCCCAGCATAGCAGGTGACACCATGGTTCACCCAACTGTCTACAGCAGGAACTAAGCATTATCCTTGACCTATAAATCCCAGCTTCCCCATGTGGCCCTAGCCACATGGCCCTATCTGGCTCTCACACCTCATCTCCCAGCATTCTCAGCATTCCTACCCTACCCACCCATTCTGCATTCTGTTTTCCATTAATCCAGATCATCTTTTCGTTCTTCAAGTACATGCTGTCTTTCAGCTCCAGCCCTTTTATACGGTATTCCCTTTCTCTGGGACACCATTTCTTGTTGCTTCACTTAACCCTCTTCCCCTGGCCAATTCTCTGCTCATTTTTTGGATCTCAGCTTCTACTTGTCCACTTCTAGGGAGGCCTTCCTGACCACCCCTTCACCCCTACTGCTTGCTCCTGTGGCACCCCAAACCTGTCCCAGCTTAGCACACCTCTTGCCAGTGGCTCTCAACAGGGACAGTTTTCACCCCAGGAGACATTTAACAATATCTAGCCATAGTTTTCATTGTTAAAACTGGGAGGAGGGTTGCTACTGGCATCTAATGTGTAGAGGCTGTGGATGCTACTAAACATGTTACAATACACAGGACAGACCTACACAACACAGTATCATCTAGTCCAAAATATCAGTTGTGGTGAGATTGAGAAATCCTGCTGTATGGAAATTGCCTGGTTAATTACCCATATCTCCCACTAGAATTAAGGTGTGTTATCTTGTTCAGTGACGGGTTTCTAATACCTTGCATGATGTCTGGTACATAACAGACACTCAATGGATTTTGAAAGAATGAATAAATGATCTGACCTCTAAAAGCCCCAGACAGATGTTTGGATGAATAAATAATTAGATGGATAAATGGGCTGTCTTCTGGAAGTAGATTGGACACAGAGACAAGCACATCCACTGTTTTCTAGGCCCTGGGTGCCAAAAGGAACTCACATGGGACCTTTATCCAGATGGATTTAAAGAGAGTGACACTGGCCATGGTGGCAAGTAGTGGAGGGAGTAGGAGATGGAGAACAGGATTTAGGGAGGAAAGGGCCCAGAATGAGGGATGAACACTGTGGCCTGGGTCCTTGGAGAGATCACTGGGCTGCAGCCTGTGTGGAGAGGCCCCTTCTCCTGCCTGTGCTGAGCCACACATTCTTTATGCCCCAGGGAGTGATGGAGAGCTTCCTGGGCACTGCCATGGCTGGCTCCTTGTTCTGCCTCTTCTCGGGACAGCCTCTCATCATTCTCAGCAGCACGGGACCCATCCTCATCTTTGAGAAACTCCTCTTCGACTTCAGCAAGTAGGTGTCCCTTGGTCCCCAGTGCCTGCTCTCACACTTGCGGTAGTATGCCGAAGCCAGGGCAGGAGAATAGGCCCAAAGGGGAGGTGGTGGTGCAGAGGTGCCAAAGCCATCTTTAACCATGGGAAGGGCTACCCAGTGACCCCTCCTGACTCCTGCCAGCTACCTGCCTTTAAGACATCTTAGTGCATATTGGCACAGCCCATAGGGAGTAGCCATGACAAGAAGAGAAAATTCACACCACTCAGTTTGTGAGCAATGGTGACTTGATAGGCAGTGTAGTGTATGAAAAGTCCTGGGCTGCGGGTCAGAAGGCTACACCCAGACTCAGGCAGCTCCCGTCACTACTCCAGGCTCAGTTGCCTCCTCTACAGCATGAGGGTTGGGACTAGACCATTTTCAAGGGCTGCTCAGCCCTGTTCTTCTAAAATTCCCTGTTTTTCACTCACTCTGGTGTCTGTTACCAACTGTGTGAGCACTGAGATATCTTAGCACCTTCCTGCCTCCCCCAGAAGATCTTAAAAAAATTTTTTTACTTATAAACACTGGACCCCCATGTGATCTCAAAGATAGATAATTGTACCCCAGAATTGTCCCTGTCCCCAATCTTTCACAGTCCCTGGAAGGGCATCTGTGCTGTAGGAGGACAGATAAGCCACTCAGGGGTGGGTCTGAGGAGCCAAGCACAGCCAGGAGCCCTGGCCTGAAGGCCCCTCACCTTCCCTCTGTCTTCCAGAGGCAATGGCCTGGACTACATGGAGTTCCGCCTCTGGATTGGCCTACACTCAGCTGTCCAGTGCCTTATCCTAGTGGCCACAGATGCCAGCTTTATCATCAAATATATCACCCGCTTCACTGAGGAGGGCTTCTCCACCCTCATCAGCTTCATCTTCATCTATGATGCCATCAAGAAGATGATCGGTGCCTTCAAGTACTATCCCATCAATGTGGACTTCAAGCCAAACTTCATCACCACCTACAAGTGCGAGTGCGTCGCGCCTGACACAGGTGACTGGTAACCCCAGACACGCCATGGGCCCTTACCTACCCCCCCCAACCCTGGTCCCCTGACCCCTTACCACAGCTCTCTACTCCTACTGCTGGGGAGGGGCTGTTCAGCCAAAGGCTTACTATTCCAAGGGAGCAAATACAGGGTTTGGAACCCAGTTTTTCAAAGGAACCAAGGGGATAGTAGCTCTAATAAGAGTCACAGGGTTATCATCATGAGGGTACGGGTAAACCCCAAGAAGATGTAAGGCATGCTTTGTCTCGGTGTGGGGTAATGTAGAGACCACACCTATGAGGAGTTCCTGCTGCCCAGGGGTTCCTACTACAGGCCAGGGGTAGACCTGATGATGACTGAAGTTCCTCCCAGCTCCATCAAGTCATGATATGATGAGCTGTCCCCAACACAGTGCTACCCGTGTGGTCACATACCTTGTAAGGAGAAACCACACCCGAGGGATGGACATTCACACAGATGGGAACATGTCCAGAGTGGAGGCTCTGCCAACCATGCCATCTGAGAACAGTTGGATAACTGGGGCTTATTCAGCCTCTTAGGGATATGAGAATTATGAGAGAAGAACTGTCATATCACAGAGGGACTGTGTTCACCCTCTGAAACCTCTACAGGATGTAGAGCAGAATGAGGAACAGGGAGCAGAAGCTCCAGGGAGCCAGATGCTGGCTGAATTTAAGAAAGAACCTATAATGGTGGGAGTTGCCACCATGGGAGCTCTCAGCCCCCTTGGTTGGTAGATTACCTGGACACTGTCTGGATGTCCATCTGCCAAGGATATTGTAAAAAGAATTCCTGTGCAGTTGGAGTTGACCTGATAACACCCAGTGCCACACCTATGGAGTTACTTTCTGGCCAAAAACCTGTCCTCTATAAGTTAAGGCTTCCCATAGACTCTGAGCCTCCTTCATAGTCATGATCATGCACCTAAGAACCTTCAGTGGCATATGCCCAGAGTGCCAAGGGTGCTGCAGAGCAGGAGCAGAAGGTCCATGCACACATCTCCAAGCACCAAGGCTGGACTCACAGAGAGCAAACTGAGGTCCAGAGACCACCCAAGGTCACTCCAAGCCTCCATTTCCCTGGCTGTAAAAGAGGGCTTTCAGTGTAGGCCCCGCTGGTCTCCTGGGACTCCTGTGGGGTTTCCAAATCTATATCCCAATTGAGTTGAAGGAAATAAGTGGATAGTGGGTTGTTCATCCCTTTAGTACATTACCGTGGGTAAAAAGAAAATCAATCATAAGTCAATCAAAAATACTTGCTGCACAATTATTGTGTATCCTACTTTGGGTCTTGTGGAAGATAATGATGTCCTGCCTTCTGGGAGCTTAGTGTTGATTATACCCTCTTCCCTCTGTGACTGCACTGATTTTGTAAAGAAGTCCAGTCTTTTTTTCTTTCTTTCTTTTTTCCTGTCATTATTTTGAGTTAATCCACTAAAATCTAATAACAGGTGAAGCTACCCTTCATCCTGAGCCAAGGCATATTGCTTCCCCAGAGGGCATCCTACCTGCAGGCAGGCCCTTTAGATTCTACTCTGGAACAAATCCTGCCTCTGTGGGAAAGCCCCATCAGGACCCTCCCATGTGCTTGTATCTTCTATACTATAGATTCAGTGTTGCATTGACATAAATTTTACACAAATATAGCTTCTAGAAGCATATATCCTTGATCTCTTTTAGAAATGATCCAAATTCTAGGGTTATATGAGGAGCTTAGACCTTTTTTTTTTTTTAAGATGGAGTCTCACTCATGTCGCCCAGTCTGGAGTGCAATGGCACGATCTTGGCTCACTGCAACCTTTGTCTCCCGGGTTCAATCAGTTCTCCTGCCTCAGCCTCCCGAGTAGCTGAGACTACAGGCATGCGCCACCATGCCAGGCTAATTTTGTTTGTTTGCTTTTTTAGTAGAGATGGGGTTTCACCATGTTGGCCAGGTTGGCCTCAAACTCCTGACATCAGGTGATCCACCCACCTCGGCCTCCCAAAGTGCTGGGATTACAGGCATGAGCCACTGGGCCTGGCCGCTTTGGCCATTCTGAGAATCATCTAGCCATAAGAAAAATCAAACCCAGGGATGCTCTAGGAACAAGGGCCATAGGAGTGTATAAGGTACATTATGAGTGACATAATGAAGCCACCTGTTTCCAAATATCTTCCTCTCTGGCTTTGCCCAGGTACCTGAGCAAAGAATATTACCTCATTCTTTGGGGTCATGCTGTTGTCATGGTTCTCAAAATGTCGCTGGACCAGCAGCATCAGGGTACTTTCTAGAAATGCAAATTGTTAGCCTCCTGCCCCAGATCTGCTGATCAGAAACTGTGGCTGGGCATAGTGGTGCACAACTGTAGTCCCAGCCAATCAGGAGGCTGAGACAGGAGGATTGCTTGAGCCCAGGAGTTTGACAACAGCCTGGACAACATAGCCAGACCCTGTCTCTATTTCAGAGAGAGAGAGAGAGAGAGAAGAAGAAGGGAGGAAAAAGAAACTCTGGAGTAGGGTCCAACTAGACATATATTAAGTCTTCCAATTGATTCTGGCGCACTCAAGTTTGAGAGCTGTTGCTCTATTGAACTATCAGAAATAATAGGGCGTTATTGGCCACTAAACCCCAGTAAGATTAAATTTCAGTTTCTTCACAGAACTGGGATAAGTTAGTTTTGATTAAGATAATATGGAAAGGAAAATTCTATACATTTAGGAGACTGGGATGAGGAGGATGAACTGTGGAGGGTGTCTTTCCCAGTCTACAGGCCACCTACTTAGTAATGAGCCCATATTCCTAGCTTTACTGCAAAGCCCAGTCTTACTATGGTATACTCTCACTCTTTGTCACTCTTCATCATAAAAGCTTGTTTGAGGTACTCTCTTTGTATTTGCTTTTGCTTCCATTGTAACTTATTTGTATTCTGTTTATGAATGCTGCACACACTGATTTGGCTGCTTTCAATCCCAAGTGAGTACCACTTTGTAAACACTGGAATTTAAAAATGTTTGATAGTTGGACCCTTTCTGAAATTTTCCATGTTGTATTTCTTTCATATTCATCTCAACTGGCTTTCAGATAAACCCTACAAAGTTTTCAATATAAAAGAATTGATAAGCATAAGCAGAAGGCATCAAAGGTGGTCCAAACACATTGGGTAGTGAAAAGACATCTGAACTCCCCAGGCTCAAGCACCAGCCAGGAGTTCCCTAGCATTTGAGCAAGAAGCCCTGAGCCAGCCTTCCTGCCCGGCTTCTCTGTCTTCATCATTAATTGTACATCATGTTCTTTTGGTCACTGATATGAGGAAAGGCAGTAGATGACCCCAGTTTCTAATAAATGAAGGCTTCCTCAGAAAAATCCTAACAAACCTCTGGGTTTGTGGAGCTTCTAGGAATATTCTGTCCTGGGTCAAGTCAAAATTCCTTAGCCACTCAGCATCAACTCGCCTGGAAGTGAGCAACATAGCTGGGCCCTGTGGTCGTATCAGCCCTGTGGACAGCTTGTTGGAGGTTTGGAGAAGCCCCAAGACATACCCTTCTTCTTTCTGGGTTTCTAACCAACTGTGGACAGCCAGCAGGAGCCACGTCAGGCTTACACTGCATTTCAGACATATTGCCAGCAAGCTGGCTGGCAGGCCCACTCCCTCTCTCCCCAGACCTGCTGCCAAGGGACTACTTGGTCTGCCTTCACTGGAGGGGGACGGTGAGACAGGCCTGGCCTTTGCCTCCAACCTTGCAGTTCAGGAGGAAGAGAGAGGGCAGCAGGCCTCCAAAGCCTGGCTTTCTGTGGGTGGCCACATCCCTGTGGAGCCTGGCCCTGTGAATGAGGAGCAGGGGAGGCAGGACAGACCACAGAAGCGGGGAGCAGGAGGGTCCACATGGAAAGGAGAGACGAGCAACTGGGATTCCTTGAAACTCTCCTGTAGACCTTCATGTGATTCACATACAATTAGGAACACTGAGGCCAGGATAAGGAAGTACCCAGCAAGGGATGCAGAGACACCCGCTGAGAGCAGCACATTTGGGTTCCCAATTCTGCTTCAGGGCCTGGACCTTGGTTTAACTTTCCTCAACTTGCATTTGGCAGATTAGAAAAGATAATATCAAAGCAACAAGTTCTGTCAGGACTAGCTGACCTTTAAGAAAAAGCACATATGGGCCGGGCATAGTGGCTCATGCCTGTAATCCCAGCACTTTGGGAGGCTGAGGTGGGCAGATTACTTGAGGTCAGGAATTCATAACCAGCCTGCCCAACATGGTGAAACCCTGTCTCTACTAAAAATATAAAAAATTGACCGGGCGCAGTGGCGTGTGCCTGCAGTCCCAGCTACTCGGGAGGCTGAGGCACGAGAATCTCTTGAACCTGGAGATGGAGGTTGCAATGAGCCAAGATCACGCCACTGCACTCTAGCCTGGGCAACAGAGCAAGACTCCATCGCAAAAAATAATAATAATAATAAAAGGAGGGCTGGAAGAGAAGGGCTGTATCTGTGGAGGTGAACAGGTCAGGGAAGTTCACTCTGTAGAGCTGGGAAGTTTATAGGCTCTGGACCAGCCTTCCTGGGATGGGATCATGGCTCCAAGCATGAGCTGTGTGACCTTGGGTGAATTATATAACCTCTGGGCCTCAGTTACCTCATCTGTAAAGTGGGCATATTTGGTGAAGATTTGGGAATTAAATACATGAATATATATGTAATGTCTTGGCATAGTGCATGGCATAGAATAAGTTTTTTGAACATTTTTAAGTCTAACGGCCCAGTGGCCAGTGGGGATTCACAAGGCACATTATCCGCCAGCTTGTCTTAGCACTTTGTCCTGACCCCAGATTCCCTGTTTCAATTTTTAAAACCAGCTATCATTGTCAGGCAGGTGCTGTCCTGGCCCAGCTGGTCTGTCAGAGTTGTGGCCTAGGCTCTGTACCACCAGGACTTCCCTAACTGGGGCAAAGTCAGGAAGGTGGAGAGGGAGCTGCCCTCACAATGGAAGCCAGGCCTCAGCTCTAAGGAACTGGAGGGAGATGGGAAGGGGCTGGGAATGCAGCTCCTGGCCCCACAGCTGCTGACCCTGCCCCGTGTCATGTGCTCATCCACAGTGAATACAACCGTGTTCAATGCTTCAGCCCCACTGGCACCAGACACCAATGCTTCTCTGGTAAGTACGTTCCTCTTATGTCAGACATTTGAGTACTTTTGTTCATTGGAGGAGTGAGAAAACATTTTGGAAATGAGACCAACTATGGCCACCGAGACTTGCAGAGGTCAACTGCAGCCATACAACAGGGTCACCTGCAGAACTTTGTAAATGCACACTTTTTTTTTTTTAAGGTATACAGTGTAAATATCCCACTTAAAAACATGCCTCATTCTGTTAACTCCATGTTTTTTGTTTTTTGGGGGTATTTTTTTTTTTTTTTGAGATGGAGTCTCACTCTGTCACCCAGGCTGGAGTGCAGTGGCACAATCTTGGCTCGTTGCAACCTCTACCTCCCAGGGTAGAGACAGGGTTTCACCATGTTGGCCAGGCTGGTTTCAAGATGGGTTTCACCATGTTGCCCTAGTTGGTCTCGAACTCCTGGCTCAAGTGATCTGCCTTCCTCGGCCTCCCAAAGTGCTGAGATTACAGAAGCAGACCACTGTGCCCAGCCCCATGTGTGTTAATAATATGATACAAGCTCGGTGTAGTGGCACACGCCTATAATCCCAGCTACCTGAGAGGCTGAGGCACAAGAATTGCTTCACCCCAGGAGGCAGAGGTTGCAGTGAGCCAAGATTGTGCCACTGCACTCCAGCCTGGGTGACAGAGTGAGACCCTGTCTCAAAATAATAATAATAATAATAGTAATAATAATATGACACACACACAAAGGAAGGGGAGGTAGAGGTGAGGAATGGTAAATAGGGCTGCACAAAGCTTTAAGCAAAGTCTCCCATTCATCTTTCTGCCTTCTTCCTTCTCTTTCTTCCTAGGACCCCCAATTCCCAACAGTGCCACTCTCCAGCCCCAGAGAATTTATTAGTGTTCCTTCCTCAATGAATCGAATGTGTCCTTTGCACAACCTTAGTCTCTGGGGCCTAAGGTATGGTCTGCCTTTTCAATAACGACAGTGGTGTCTTCAGGAGCCAGCATCCCAGCCATAGTGGCTTAACAATAGGAAGTTCAATTCCAGGTGAAGGTAGCACCTGGTAGGACTTGGGGGACATTTGTGAGCTTTTACTCTCTCCAAGGTTGCTTCTTAAGTTATTCCTGCCTAGGCAGTTGACTGCTCTTTCTACACACATCCCAGTTGGCAATTTAACTTAGTATTTTTCAAAGATCAGGGGGTTTTGCCCAGTCTGGAATGTAGTGGAATGATTATATTATCACTGCAGCTTCAAATTCCTGAGCTCAAGTGATCTTCCTGCCTCAGCCTCCTTAGTAGCTGGGACTATAGGCATCAGCCACCATGCCCGGCTAATTTTTAAATTTTTTGTAAAGACAGGGTCTCACTGTGTTGCCCAGGCTGGCCAAATATCTATTTTCAGAGAGAAAGAACAGAATCAGTCAGTGCCTATTTCTGAATCCCTATTATATGCAAGGTGCCGTGTGCACTGAAGGCTAACAAAGACATCTGAGAAACCAACACGGTCCCTGTCCTCAAATTTGTTGTTAATATATTTGTGGAGAAGAACCTGAAAAGTTATAGGACAGCATAAGCACAATGCACCATGCATTAAATATAAGCCAAATGTGTACTTCAATCTTGAAGGCAGGAAAGAAGGCTGCTGGAGAAGCCAAGGAAACCCTCAAAGAGGAAGTAGAATGCAATCTGGTCTTGAAGGTTGGGGAAAAGTTGGCTCAACAGAGAGAAGCACATTCCAGACTGAAGGAATAGCATAGACAGAAGGGCAAGAGAGGAAAAGCACAAAATCTGTGCAGAGGCTAGTGGGTGGGCTAGGCCAGCTAAGACGGGGTGAGGGTGGGGCTTGGACAGGGAACCACAAGAGACAAGCTGGGAAAGGGGTGTGGGGCCAGACCAGGGAGGGCAGCAGAGGAATGCTACCCTGGAGGTAACATTTTAAGTTGCTTTGGTGATTGAGGGATGCAGCTGACACTCAGTAGATAGGGCCCAGAATGCAAGACAGTCCTGTATGTAACAGTTGTGTGCCATGAAGAACAATTTCTGACTTCCTTACTTGTATCAGCTATCTATTGCTGCATAACAACCATCCTCAAATTTAGTGGGCAAAAGCAGCAGCAGTTGTAATTATAATCCTCATGACTCTGTAGGTTGGCTGGCTGTTCTTTTTTTTTTTTTTCTTTTTGAGACAGAGTCTCACCGTCACCCAGGCTGGAGTACAGTGGTGCAATCTCAGCTCACTTCAGTGTCCTCCTCCTAGGTTCAAGCAATTCTCCTGCCTCAACTTCCCAAGTATCTGGGATTATAGGCACATGCCATCACACCCAGCTAATTTTTGTATTTTTGTAGACACAGGGTTTCACCATGGTGGCCAGGCTGGTCTCAAACTCCTGACCTCAGGTGATCTCCCCACCTCAACCTCCCAAAATGCTGAGATTGCTGGTGTGAGCCACCACACCTGGCCAATCTTAGAAATATATATATAAGTATATATAATTTATATATATATAAATTTGCTGTTGTGTATGCCCTAGATTTTAGGCATCTGGGACACCAAGGTGGGGAGTAACTGAAATGACTCAAGAAGGGACTGAAAAAGGAATGTGAGCCCTCATATGTGAAAGGGTGTGACAGAGGGGATGAAGGGGAGAGAATAAAGATGAGACACTCCAGGAAGGAGGCGCGACAGGACCTGTGGTTGGTTGATGGGAGCCAGGCCTGCTGAGGGGGAAGCCATCCTCCCTCTGCACTTTTCCTCCTTGCTAGCACAGCAGTGCATCTTAGAACACAATGAAGAAACACATGTGAGCTCCTAATGTCCCAGGGAGCTTGTCATTCCTTGAATCAGCTGGTCCCCAGGAACATCACTCTGTTGCTGAGGTCACCATCATGGACGGGAGGGCTGGGGTTCCTCAGAGGGTGGGAAGGTATGCCAGCTGCCTGGGAACTGCAGGGGGAAGGACACAGCTGACCCACCAGGAAGATGCTGACCCATTCTCTCCTCTGCTTGGTCTCCAAGTACAACCCCCTTAACCTCACAGCGCTGGACTGGTCCCTACTGAGCAAGAAAGAGTGTCTGAGCTATGGCGGGCGCCTGCTTGGGAACTCCTGCAAGTTTATCCCAGACCTGGCGCTCATGTCTTTCATCCTTTTCTTTGGGACATACTCCATGACCCTGACCCTGAAGAAGTTCAAATTCAGCCGCTATTTTCCTACCAAGGTAAGCTCATCCTGCTGTTAGGAGGGGACCTGCAGTCAGACCACTGCTGAGTTCCCCAGAGAGGGTTCTGGTCCACTGACAGGATGGACTCCACATGAGCACTGGTTCCCTGGGGTTTTTCAAGTTAAGTCAGAGAGAACTGAGTTCCCTTGTTGGCCAGTCCCCTTGACAACACTTGGTATCATCAGGCTTTTATCTTTAGTCTTTCTGTGTAGTAGTATCTCGGTTTTTTGTTGTTTTTTTTAAAAATTTTTCACTTTTCTGATGATTAATGAAAGTGAAAACACAGTTATTCCTGTATTTATTGACCATATGGCCAGCTGACTTTCTTTTTGGAAGTACCTATTGAAATCTCTTGCACATTTTCTTTTTTTTTTTTTTGAGATGGAGTCTCACTCTGTCTCCCAGGCTGGAGTGCAGTGGTGCGATCTCAGCTCACTGCATCCTCTCTCTCCCAGGTTCAAGTGATTCTCCTGCCTCGGCCTCCCGAATAGCTGGGATGACAGGCACCTGCCACCACATCTGGCTAATTTTTGTATTTTTAGTAGAGATAGGGTTTCACTATGTTGGCCAGGATGGTCTCGAACTCCTGACCTCAAGTGATCTGCCCGCCTTGGCCTCCCAAAGTCATGGGATTATAGGCATGAGCCACTGCACCTGGCTCTTGCATGTTTTCTGTTGGGTTGTCTGCCTTTCTAATTTGCAAGAATTCTTTATATATTTTGGGTAGAAATGTTTTTGTGACTATATGTGTTGTGAAATCTTCTCCCACTCTGTGACTGTTTTTTTTCTTTTTACATCCTTAATAGTATCTTTTGATTAACAGAAATTCTTTGTTTTATTGTAATTGAATATATGAAACTTTCCTCAAGGAAAATATTGGGCAGAAGATATTCTTGTATGTTACCTTCTAAAAGCTTCATTGTTTTTCCTTTCATGTTAGATCTACAGTCCATCAGAACTGATTTTGATGTGGACTGTGAGATACTGTTTCTTTGTGATTTTATATAGATAGTCAATTGTTCCAGTATTTTAAAAAGATCATTCTTTCTCCATTGCTTTGCAATACTTCCTTTGCCATGTATAAAATATTCCTGTATGTCAGGGTCTGTTTCTGGGTTCTTTATTCTGTTTTACCAGCTTATTTATATATCAGTATCACAGTCTTCATTTCTGTAGCTTGTAAGTCTTTATATGTTTGTCTCCCAAACTCTCTCTCTTTGAGAATATTTTCTTGGCCCTTTCCATTTCCACATGAATTTTAGAATCATCTTAAATTTCACCAAAATAAAAACTTATTGGAATTTTGATGGGATTATCTTGACTCTGTATGTCAATTTGGGAAGAATTTACATCTTTCAAATTTTGAGTGTTCTGATTTATGAATATGGTATACTTCATTTATTTTGGTCTTCTTTCTTTTCATGTTTTATATGTTTTGATCTTGAAGTCTGGAACATTTTTTATTAGATTTATTCCTAGGTACTTGATTTTTTTATACTATCATAAAAGCTAACTGCTATTTTATTTATTTATTTTTTTGAGAGAGAGTCTCACTCTGTCACCCAGGCTGGAGTGCAGTGGCACGATCTCAGCTCACTGCCACCTCCACCTCCCAAGTTCAAATGATTCTTCTGCCTCAGCCTCCCAAATAGCTGGGACTACAGGCACCTACCACCACGCCCAGCTAATTTTTGTATTTTTAGTTGATACAGGGTTTCACCATGTTGGCCAGGCTGGTCTTGAACTCTTTACTTCAGGTGATCCGTCCACCTCAGCCTCCCACAGTGTTGGGATTACAGGTGTGAGCCACAGCACCTGGCCCTAACTGCTGTTTTAAATTGTATTTTCTATCTGTTTGTGGCTGGAATAAAACATTTATTAATCAAAACAGCACTTGCATATGTAAGCAGTGACTGTGCCCTGGTGGGGGTACTTGGATGAATCTTAGCAACACTTTCCCATCATAAACTCTATTACTCTCCCCTAAAGCCATCTTAACTAAATATTGCAGCTGCTACTGCTTCTAATCATAATGATAAAATATCTGCTATAAATAGTTGAATAATTCTCAAATTTCCTAAAGACTGAATAAAAGGTGCCTTAGGGAGCTTCATAGTATATTAACTGAGTAAAAAATAATTTGCTTACAGCTCAGGTGCATCCTCAAGACAAGTTCTCTTCCTTCCTCCCCATTTCCAGCCCAGAGCATATCCCTAAATCTCCTCTTATGTAAAAATTCTCAAGCAGTTGCTATATCTGAAAATATCTATCTGTTGCCTGAAAGATAAAAAGTAATTCATGTGGCATGAAGTTCTTGCATCACCAACTTTTTTTCCCCTCACGTTACTTAAAAGTTGCTCAGTTGCCTCCTGAAATTTTGGGTTGCAAAGAGGAATGAGGCCACACCATTTCATACTCATCAGATTGGAAGATAAAGATCTTGGGACACCAGATGTTGGAGATGAAAAGCAGTAGGTAGAAGTGTAAACAGATACATCAGAGCAACTGGCACTCTCTGATTAGATTGGACCATGTGAAGTTACCCATATTTGGTTGTTGTGACATACAAAAATATGGCAAATTCATATAGTTTTGAACTGTATGCTAGGAATATTACAGAAAAGGAAGTATAAACCTAGTTTATAGGTTTATACCAACACTACTTGGTTCTTCTGTGACTAATATTTATATAATCATAATAATTTAAAGCTATTACTAATTTTCAACTTTTGGAATTGACTTATAGATAAAACACACAAGGCATGTGTTTACAGAACAAGATATGAGTGTTCTCAGCTTTGACAGTGGAAAGGTCAAAGTGGAGGTATCACAGGAAGAAAGGGAGAAGGGGAGGAGAGAGGTGGTAGGAGAATAAAAGCAGTGGTCCTCACCTTGCAAGATGGAGAATGAGAGATATTAGCCAAAGCTAATGGAAAGAGAGGTTTCATTATATAACTTGAAAGTACAAAGGAAATCCATAGGAGCTTAAAATTAACTATCAAAGATTAAAAATAAGGAAAGGACAGGAGGCATAGTGTAAGTAAAGCTAAATTCTAAACAATAGATAATCCCTTAAATTAGTAAATGAAAATATTAAAGTATATGCATGTTAGTTAATGATATGGAGGGAACTTCCAGAACAAGTAAAGTCAAGCAGACATAGCGGGTGGATCTGGAAGGTGGGGCTGGATTGAGAAAAGGGGAGGTGGGAGACTTTGCTTTTCCCTGTAAGTCTTTTTCTACTCTGTGGGTTTTTAACCAATTACAGATATTATGTTAATAAAAATTTAAAGAGAAGAAGGGAATGCAGAGAATGAAGTCATTCTCTGAAATGAATGAATTCTCTGGTCACTTCTCTGAAAAGATATAAAAAGGGCCATAGGGTAGACATTGGGAGATCCTCTGTCATGAGACTTGTAGACATAGAGTTGGCTTGGAGGGGAGATTGGAGGACATTGATTCAGAATGGGCAGGAAGGTCAGGTTTAGAACTTGGTCTAGGAAGAGCCACCAGCTTCAGAACCTGGCCTAGAAGGGCCTCCTGAGAAACAGAGGAACAAGAAGCTCTTGGTGGACAAAAAGTCTGAGAGTAGCCAATGGTCCCAGTGGAATTGGAGAGCCTCCCTCCCAGCCCAGGTGGGGCACAATAACCTGTCACAGGTTTATAGGAGCTAAGGTTTGCTTCAGAGTTCAGCCTTTGCCCTCATTACACCTTCTGGGTGCCCCAGTTCAGACTGTCATACCAGAAAACATCTTCGGCAGTGGCTGCCATGGCCACATGGATCATAACAACTCGCACATTGACTACTGTGTGTAAAGCACTCTAAATGTGTCACAATCCCTCCCTTTGAGGGACATACCACCATCATCTCCATCTTACAGAGAAGGAAATTGAGGCTTGGAGAGATGGCATGCTTCCCCAAGCTCATATCAGTTAGCAAGGAGCAGAGTCCAGATTCGAGCCTAGTTCTGCTACCTTCAGAGCCTAGACTATAACAGTTCACCTATTTGCTGCCTGAGGACTGGGGCTACTGGGAGCTGGGTGGGTTCTTCACTCACTTGCTTTCACTTGCTCATATTCTGTCTGCAGGTCCGGGCCCTGGTGGCTGACTTTTCCATTGTTTTCTCCATCCTGATGTTCTGTGGAATTGATGCCTGTTTCGGCCTGGAAACCCCCAAGCTGCATGTGCCCAGTGTCATCAAGGTTTGCCCCTTGCCCCCCCCAGGCATCCAGTCTGCCTGCCCACCAGCTGCAGATTCTTTCCCCTCTGTGCTGATCAAACTCTCTTCTCTCAGCCAGGAGACCATGTTAATTCTCTGTCTGTGCACCACCTTTCCTGAACACTGGCTCCCAGGAGCCGGTCCTTTGAGGTAGGGTTGGGAAGGGTGAAATATTCACCATGAAATCCTGATCTGTAGCCATGAGGTGAGGAAGGCACTGGAATTCACCCTCCAACCCAGTGGAAGCCTCTTGATTCCTCTTTGAAAATCTCCAGTTCCGTGACCTCTGGCACTCTACAAGCTGGCCCAAATGGGATCTGTTGAAACTGATCCCTTAGAATAGTGATTCTCAAAGTGTGATCTTCAGACCAATATCACAGCATCACAGTCAAGGAGAACTCGTTAGAAATGCAATTTCTCAGCCCCACCTGTGGAATCAGAAAAGCTGGGGGGTTAGACCAGCAATCTGAATTTTAACAAGCCCTTCAGGTAACCTGGAGTATGCTCAGGTCTGAGAACCACTGCTTAGAAATTACTCACTCGTCCAGAATCAGTGACATATGCTTGTAGCTAAACTCAGACCTACTCCTCATAAGAGCACCAGCCATCTCACCAGAGTAGGAAGTCCAGATGTCCAGATTCTAGAACTTCCCCTCCCTGTCTTTAAGGTCTTTTTTTCTTTCTTTCTTTCTTTTTTTTTTTTTTTAGGCAAAGTCTCACTCTGTTGCCCAGGCTGCAGTGCAGTAGTGCAGTCACAGCTCACTGCAGCCTCAACCTCCTGGACTCAAGTGATCCTCATGCCTCAACCTCCCAAGTAACTGGGACTATAGGTGCATACCACAACACCTGGCTAATTTTTGTATTTTTTTGTAGAGATGGAGTCTTCCTATGTTGCCCAGACTAGTCTTTAACTCCTGGGCTCGAGTGATCCTCCTGACAAAGTGCTGGGATTACAGGCATGAGCCACCCTACTCAGCTTCTGAGGTCTTGACCTTCAAGATATTATTGTTTCAGGGTTCTCCCAAAGAGCTTAAACACATCTCATATAACTCATGTTGGCCTGGAAATTAAAGTAACTCTTTTTTTTTCTTAAATTAAAAAAAGATAAAATTCAACCCAGCTCCTGCACAGATAGTTCCTCATCTTTAACATGCAGAACTGAACTGATGTTTGGCGTTCTACAGACAATTCTAGAATGCTCCCATACAGGTCACTCAGGAGAGGCAGAAGCAGCTGGCTCTGAGCCCACCTATTTCTTTATTTTCTGTTGGGCCTCATTTCTGCTGTTTGTTATTTGCAGTGAGTGCATTCTCTCTCCTGGCTGTCCTCTGATCCACACCTCCACATTTTCTGCCCAATCTCAGGGCTATTGCAGCAAATTATCTCCTTAGTTTTACAGACACTGTCTGCATACATGCTCCTTCTCATGTCTGAATTTAGTCTAAAGTTGTGGGTACCTAATATGTTAAGGGAAAAGATTTCACTTGAAAAGTACCCCAGGTCAGGGAAAGTCGAGGAGGTGGGACAGCAGGCCAGGTGGCAAGTGCCCTGGGACAAGTGAGAAAGGAAAGGGCCCCTCTCTGTTTGCTCCCACTCAGCCTACACGGCCTGACCGAGGCTGGTTCGTGGCCCCCTTTGGAAAGAACCCGTGGTGGGTATACCCAGCGAGCATCCTGCCCGCCCTGCTGGTGACCATCCTGATCTTCATGGACCAGCAGATCACTGCCGTCATTGTCAACCGGAAGGAGAACAAGCTGAAGGTAAGGCCGGTATTAGGAGCAGAGGGTTAACCTCTTTCCTCCAAGAAAGTCAGAAGGAGCAAAGGAAGAAAGAAGCAAGTCAGAAGGAGCAAATGCTTTGGGCCAGGAAAATATGAGGACAGAAGACTGGAGTTCCCACTTGGGGTGTTGAGGGGGAAATGTGACCTCCGGTATGTTGAGGGGGAAATGTGACCTCCAGATGTGTGTAAGGCCACCAGGGCTGGAGTGACTTTCTGAGGACCAGGACCAAACTAGGCTGAGCCACTGGGCACAGGCTCCCTGTCTTTCCCAAAGTGGCCTTGAGTTCTTATCTCCCAACATGAACCTGAAAATCAGCAGATCCTAACGGGGGCACAGCCTAGAACACTGAGGCAGAGGAACTTCCTTAGCCTTCCTGGTCTCTGCAACTCCCCACCCAGCCTGTGAGCCTGAGAAGACTTGGGCCACCCCCTTCCCCATCTTAGTCTGGACCACTCTACGTGTGGCCTATCCCAGCTGGGGTTGCTCACTCAGGAACTGCAGAGACCCTGTGGCCACCTTCTGGGCCCTTCTCCCCAGAGATCCAAACCCAGGGCCTCTCCAAGCTTGAGCATCCCTCTCTTCCATTACCTATGTCCCTTAGGCAGCTAACCCTTTCAGATGGTTAGCTGGGACCCACCCACCTCTGCAGTCCTTGCAAGGTGCACCTCAAGCCTCGTCAGTATCCTCTGGAAGGCAGGGGGAGCCCTTGAACAATGTAGCACAGAATGGCTGCTTCCAAGAGGAACCAGCTCCCCAGAAACTTCTCCCTCCCCTCCCCCACCCCTGCAGAAGGCAGCTGGCTACCATCTGGACCTGTTCTGGGTGGGCATCCTCATGGCCTTATGCTCCTTTATGGGGCTCCCCTGGTATGTGGCTGCCACGGTCATCTCCATTGCCCACATCGACAGCCTCAAGATGGAGACGGAGACCAGCGCCCCTGGGGAGCAGCCCCAGTTCCTGGGAGTCAGGTAGGAGGGGTCAAAGCCTAGGGATCACCCGACAGGGAGGGGTTCACTCAGGGAGGAGAAGCTGGCTTTGCCTGTCTCGCCAAAGGATTTGGACAAAAAGCGCCCAAGCACTGACGGCCCAAGAACCACAGGGACCGTCCCTGGAGGGAGGGAAGGAGAGAGACAGAAGTCCAACTCTTAAGTGGGGCTTTTTACCTACTGGATTCCAAGCAGTATGCATACCCCAGCCATAAACATACACTCACACGCGCACCAGACACTCACCTGCATCAGTCATCTAAGGTCCCACACGAGGCCTCGTACTGTCCTGCCCTTTTTCTCTTCCTCAAGACCCTGCAGGCCCCTACTGCCCCGACGGCCCTCCTTGGGCTCAGGTCTTGCTTGGTCTCCTCAGAAGGCTATCCCAGGACCACCCTTGCTCCCTGATCTGCCTGTCACTCCTGTTCCTTCACTTGCCCCTTCTCTCATGTGCCATGTTAGGCAGAGAAGTACATCTTCAGTCCCTTAGGGCCTCCAAGGTGAAACCACACCAAACCCTGGCATTCTCCTACGTGACTGCCCTAAGTACTTCTCCCACTATCTCAGGATACCTGGACAGCCCGGCCTGCCCGAATGAAGCTTCTCTGCCCAACTGCAGGGCTCACTTCCCTCCCACCCCTGACACCTGTTCTGCTGGTAGCCAGACCCCCTTCTCCAGATCCTCAATCATTGTGCCCCACAAAAGTGAGCTCTTACAATAAAAGGGCAGAGTAATAGCATTTATCTCAAATGTATCCTCAAAAATAGGGCCACTATTACTGCATATACTGAGGCTCAAGATGGGCAGAGCCCTGCCCAATGCCACATAACTAGCTAGTGGCAGAGCCAGGATCCAACCCACATCAGTTCTACTCAAGTACCCCAGCTATGAGCCACTACACTGAACATCCCTCAGTGCCCCTGCAAGATACCCTCCCCCTGGTCAGGGGCTGCCTGTCTTCCCACATATGGTTCAGCTGGGCCTCAGGGAACCAGGCAGAGCTCCATACAGAAGACCTCGAGGCCATGGCCTTGGACACAAGCTTCAGGCACCCACAGAGGGGGTAGGCATTTCCTGGTACTCCCTGACCATGTGCTCTTCTCTGCCAGGGAACAGAGAGTGACCGGCATCATCGTCTTCATCCTGACAGGAATCTCTGTCTTCCTGGCTCCCATCCTGAAGGTGAGGCCCTGCACTCTCACCCAGGGCCTTGTCATCTAAGAAAGCAGAGTGAATGCCTCAGGCAGGGAGAAGGTCTCCACATAGCTAGGGATCACGAGTCTAACGGCCCCCTAAGAAAGTCACAGTCCACGCCTGTAATCCCAGCACTTTGGGAGGCCAAGGCGGGTGGATCACAAGGTCAAGAGATTGAGACCATCCTGGTCAACATGGTGAAACCCCGTCTCTACTAAAAATACAGAAAATTAGCTGGGCATGGTGGCACATGCCTGTAATCCCAGCTACTCAGGAGGCTGAGGCAGGAGAGTTGCCTGAACCCAGGAGGCTGAGGTTGCGGTGAGCCGAGATCGTGCCATTGAACTCCAGCCTGGGTGACAAGAGTGAAGCTCTGTCTCAAAAAAAGAAAAAGAAAGAAAAAGAAAGGCACAGTCTTGGCTGGGTGCGGTATCTCACACCTGTAATCCCAGCAGTTTGGGAGGCTGAAGCAGGCAGATCACCTGAGGTCAGAAATTCAAGACCAGCCTGACTAACAGCCTGCACTAAAAATCCAAAAATTAGGCAGGCATGATGGCACATGCCTGTAATTCCAGCTACTCAGGAGGCTAAGGCACATGAATTGCTTGAACCCAGGAGGCGGAGGTTTTGGTGAGCTAAGATTGCGCCACTGCACTCCAACCTGGGCAACAAGAGTGAACCGTCGTATCAAAAAAAAAAAGAAAGAAAGAAAGAAAAAGGCACAGTCTTATTAAGCCAAAGTAATATTTCCACACTGTCACCATTGTTTTCTGTGATACCACAGTTGTTGTTGTTTTGTTTTGTTTTTTTGAGACAGAGTTTTGCACTCATTGCCCAGGCTAGAGTGTAATGGCATGATGTCAGCTGACCACAACCTCTGCCTCCTGGATTAAACGATTCTCAGCCTCTTGAGCAGCTGGGATTACAGGCATGCGCCACCACACCCAGCTAATTTTGTATTTTTAGTAGAGACAGGGTTTTTCCATGTTGGTCAGGCTGGTCTGAACTCCCAACCTCAGGTGATGTGCCCACTTCAGCCTCTCAAAGTGCTGGGATTACAGGCATGAGCCACCGCGCCCGGCCAATATTGCAGTTTTTTTATCATCAATCCTCTCTCCCACCCCTCCCAGGACCACTCTCGCCTTTCTGGAGGATACTCTTCCCTCCGAATGTTCTGCCAAGTTCTAGCCCTGCTTAGATCAGGAACTTCCTGAATGGGGTGTGTGTCCACATTGCTGTGGTTTGGGGCTCATGAAGTTTAAAACTTGCAGTGGGAGGCCAAGCATGGTGGTATATGCCTGTAGTACATCTACTCAGGAGGCTGAGGCAGGAGGATCACCTGAGCTCAGGAAATCTTGGGACTTGGGTAACTTTTTCCCACCCAGCTCAAAGCTCCTCTTGCTCATATCCCATCACAACAGCTGTGAGACTAAATCAAATAGGGGTACAATGGAGGCAGGCATCCCCCACAAGAGTCTCTTTCTGGAGAGACTCCAGAAAGCAAGGTGTTCCCGGCAGGTTTCCCTGCTCTCCACTCCAGCCAATCGTCCATCAGTCTCCCTTTCCCTTGATCACTGCCAACACAAGACTTTCCTTTCTTGAATTAAGTTTACCTGTAATTTCCTCAACCTTTTGCCAATACTATTTTCCCTCTTTGAATATCCCAAAACAGCTCATAACCAGGCATGGTGGCTCATGTCTGTAATCCCAGGACTTTGGGAGCCCAACGTAGGAGGATCACTTGAGGCCGGGAGTTCAAAACCAGTCTGGGCAACATAACGAGACACCCCATCTCTACAAAAAATACAAAACTTAGCCAGGCATGATGGTGCATGCCTGTGGTCCCAGCCACTAGGGAGGCTGGGGCATGAAGATCACCTGAGCCCACGGAGGTCGAGGCTTCATTGAGCCGTAATCATGCCACTGCACTCCAGCTTGGGCAACAGAGTGAGACCTCATCTCAAAATTAAAAAAAAATTAATTCAGGGGTGACCTTTTAGAAACAAAGGCTAAAGAATCATGATGCTAGCTGATGTATTTACAATGGAAAATATTTCTGGCTTGAGAATTGGTGCTGGGCATACCTGAACAGTAGGTAGGAGGCTAGTATTTTTTAAGGAATATTTCCCATGTGGGGGAAACAAATTACACACAGGAGGGCAAGCATTCTGTTTATTTAAAGATATATTTTAAATGGCCAGGGACTATTTATTTACTTTTGTAGAGAGGGTTCCATTGTGTATGTCTATTTTGACGCTTTTTTTGTTTTTTTTTTTTTGAGACAGAGTTTCACTCTTGTTACCCAGGCTGGAATGCAATGGCGCGATCTTGGCTCACCACAACCTCCGCCTCCTGGGTTCAGGCTATTCTCCTCCCTCAGCCTGCTGAGTAGCTGGGACTACAGGCACGCGCCACCATGCCCAGCTAATTTTTTGTATTTTTAGTAGAGACAGGGTTTCACCACGTTGACCAGGATGGTCTCGATCTCTTGACCTCGTGATCCACCTGCCTTGGCCTCCCAAAGTGCTGGGATTACAGGCGTGAGCCACCGCGCCCGGCTGACACTGTTTAACATACAAGTATTTGCATTAAAAAGCTTGAATCGGGCCAGGCATGGTGGTTCAAGGCTGTAATCCCGGCATTCTGGGAGGCTGAGGCAGGTGGATCACCTAAGGTCAGGAGTTCAAGACCAGCCTGGCCAACATGGCGAAACCCCATCTCTACTAAAAATACAAAAATAGCCATGTATGGTGGCACATACCTGTATCCTAGCTACTCAGAAGGCTGAGACAGGAGAATTGGTTAAGCCCAGGAGGCAGAGGCTGCAGTGAGTTGAGATCCCACCACTGCATTCCAGCCTGGTCAAGACAAAGTGAGATTCTGTCTCAAAAAAAAAAAAAAAAACAAATCTGCCAGGCATGGTGGCTCACATCTGTAATCCTAACATTTTGGGAGGCAAAGGTGGGAGGATCGCTTGAGGCCAATAGTTTGAAACCAGAATGGCCAACATAGCGAGATTCTGTTTCCAAAAAAAAAAAAAAAAAAACCCTCAAATCTAAGAACAGCATTCTTTAGGGGCCAAAAATTCCTCTAAAGACCTTTAAGTGTTGGCATAGTGCTTTGTGTGCTCCAGAGTGCTCTAACATGACTGCAAGGAGGAGCATCCTCTGCTCACCATGGGGAGCCACAGCTGCAGGGGAAGAAGAGGCGACAGGCAGAAACAGCTGAGATAGACATCAGAAGAATGCTTTGAAAGGCTGTTAAAGCTTTGGAATCACTCTTGTAGAATGGGATGAATTCCATGATCCCATGTTTGAAAAAGCAAACAAGCTGCCTGTGTGCAAGTTTGGAGGGAAGGGTACCCACCAAACTATTTGTGGTTAGTTGGTGATGAGTGCTGATTAGTTTACACACTTCTGTTCTGCTTCCTTTTTATGCGATTGTGTGTGATGCAAGATTTCCTTTTTTTTTTTTTTTTTTTTTTTGAGACGGAGTCTCTGTCACCCAGGCTGAAGTGCAGTGGCATGATCTCAGCTTACAACAACCTCCATCTCCTGGGTTCAAGTGATTCTCCTGCCTCAGCCTTCCGAGTTGCTGGGATTACAGGCATGTGTCACCATGCCTAGCTAATTTTTTTTTTTTGGTATTTTTAATAGAGATGGGGTTTCACCATGTTGGCCAGACTGGTCTCGAACTCCTGACCTCGGGTCATCCAGCCACCTGGCCTCCCAAAGTGCTACGGCTACAGGTGTGAGCCACCATACCTGGCCTGATGTGTGATTTCTGTTAATTGTCCTTGGTATTCCCTGCTGATATAGGTCAGCTCATTAAAGGTCCCCACATCCCTGCAGGCTGAGCAGCTTTAGGGGGCCCTCAGCTGAGGCTGGAGGTAGGAAAAAGCTGTCAGGAATGAGAAAGGGGCAGTCTGTGGCGCCTTCTCACTTTCCAAAAGGTGTTTCTTCAGCCAGACCACATGGCTTCTATATGGCACAATGGCACAATGAGGGGCCAGGCACCCCCACCAGAGAAGGGGCAGTACAGTCCCAGTGACCTTCATCTCCACCCCCATCCACATCCCAGCTCTGCTGACTCTTGTTCCCCCAAACAGAGGCTCCCCAGCTGCCTCTGTAGTCAGGAGGCACTGTCATCCAGAACAGGGTGGCCAAGGGCCCGCTCCAGGCAGAAGCCAATCCAAAGTCCTGCTCTCATTTTAGTGCATCCCCCTGCCAGTGCTGTACGGAGTCTTCCTCTACATGGGCGTGGCCTCCCTGAATGGCATCCAGGTAAGGCTTTCCCTCCCCGGTCTGCATACCTGGAGTCAGCATTCCATGTCTGGTTCCATGTCACCAAGACCTCCCAATTCAGTTGTCCCCATTGTCCCCAATTGTCCTAATTCAATGAAAGAACAATAGTAACAATACTGTCACTTACTAATACTACCAGGCAAAATAACTATGCTAGGCGCTTCATCGGCCTTATATAATATAATCTATGTAATTAGGTTATCTGATTCCCATTTTACAGCTGGGGATGGGAGGGTCAGAATTCAAAATCCAGAAGGAGCTGACTCCAGTGAGCATTTCACTGTACCTCTCTCTCTTCCCTAAGGCAACTGCACAGAAAAAAAAATTTTTGTTTTGTTCTGTATTTACCATGAAATCCCAGAATTCTTAAACAGTTTGTGTTACAATTAATTTGCACTTTCCTTGAATATGGACAGTGTTCATTTTGTAGCCAGCTCCAGGGCTCTTCCCCTCACCCAGGGCTCAGGACCCTTTCTCTAAGACCCCATTATGTATCTAGACACCTCCAGCTCCCCTCCTGTGTATCCTTAAGGCCTGAGCAGGAGGTTTCCCCTCTGAGACCCCATCCAAGAACCCCTTCCCCTAGTACTGGGGCCCAGCAGGCCCTCAGAGCCCAGCTACCTGGCTGAGCCCATACTGTCCCCCCAGTTCTGGGAACGCTGCAAGCTCTTCCTGATGCCGGCCAAGCACCAGCCAGACCACGCTTTCCTGCGACATGTGCCACTGCGCCGGATCCACCTCTTCACCCTGGTGCAGATCCTCTGCCTGGCCGTGCTCTGGATCCTGAAGTCCACAGTGGCTGCCATCATCTTCCCGGTCATGGTAAAGTGGGTGCAGGCTTCCCCCTCCTGCCCAGCAAGTTGGCCTGGGCAAGAGGTGCAGTGTAACCTCCCTTCCTGCCACCTTCTGCCTTCCCGTCAGCTGTGGCCTGGCTCCCTTGGGTCACAGAGGTTGGCACAGAATGACCCGATTTGAATTGTCAGTCCAGGCCAGATGGTGTGGGGTGGGGCAGAGAGGAGGCGGAGGAAGGAATGTCAGGGCCGCTCAGCGAGAACGCAGGAGTCACCCAACCTCCTGGCTCCAGGGAGGGACAGAGAAAGCAAATCAGTTCAACCAGGAGTTCCCACTGCCAAAATTCCAACCAGTCTCAGAAGTGGATGCATGCTAAATATAGATCTTTCCATCACTCAAGATAGCTAAATTTGAAAAGCTAAATAGTGATGTAGGGGGGTGGGGAAGAACTATGGTCAGAGATCAAGACCGTCATAACCTAATGACAATATATATAAAGCTTGAGCTCAGGAAAGGTTACAGTTTTTTCACTATTCTTGCAAATATTAAGTAAGTTTGAATTATTCCAAAATAAGAAGTGAAAAGAACACAAAGCCAAAAACACGTTGCATTTGCCCTCTAGATAACTCAGTGAGGGCACTGGCCCAGGCCCTTGCCAGGCACCTGGAGTGTGTCAGCGAATGTCTGGGGAAAGCCTGAGGGCTCTGGGGTAGGGGCCAAAGTAAGTACACTGAGGGGAACTTGAGTGCGCACTCCTAGGAGGGTCTAGTCAACAGTCTTGACCCTGGCTGCCCATGAAAATCAACCCAGACCAATCAAATCAGAATATCTGGGACATCCAGACTTTGGTATTTTTATGGTCTACAGGTGAGCATAAACGTGCAGCCAGGGTTGAAAAGCCCCACTGCAGGGAAAGGGAGATAGATCCTCCCCCTAGTGCCCTCATGAGCCTCAGACCTGGCAAAGGGAAAGGCAGGAGCAGTCTTGATTAGCCTTTACTGAGTGCTGTTCCATTGAGTCCATACCAGCCCCCGAAGCACTAGTAACCCCGGTTTACAGATGAGAAAGTGAGGTTCAGAGAGCATGAGCAAGTGAATCTGGACACACAACCAGGCAGGGCAGAGCAAGACCCACATCCCCCACCTACTGATTTTTTTTGTTGTTGAATTTGGGTACAGTAAAATTCAGTGTGTTCAGTGTATGGTTCTATGAGTTTTGGCAATTGAACAGAGTGGTAGTTTCACCACCAATCACAATACAGAACAGCTCCAAAAGTGCCCTCTTGCTGCCCCTGTGCAGACAGCCTCTCTTGCCACCCTTCCCACTAGCAACCACCAAGTTGTTTTCAGAGCCAGGATTCTTAAAACCCAGGTCTGTCTGACCCACCCCACCCAAGCTGTACTTGCTCCCAAGTAGTGTCAGGGAGGACCCAGTATCGAATCCAGATGAGTGTTCTTGGTGGGGAAAGGACCGTACACATCACAGCCGTCCTGGGCCACTGAGCTTATTCAAAGGTCAACTTTGAATCCTCCCCAAAGAACACTGCTTCTCCTTTGATTTCTTCATCCTGAATAGAACCAACTTTCTAAGCTTTCCCTTTAATAATCCAGTTATTACACTATATTTTATCCAACTTCTGTTAACAAAGAGGGCAGCAGCTCTCAGAATTGGAGGCAGAAGGACAGTGGGTCTCAAAGCGTGACCTCTGGACCAGCAGCATCAACATCACTGAGAAACTGGTTAGAGACATAAATTCTCGGGCCTTACCTGACTTGCTAAATCAGAAACTGGGGGGACCCAGCAATTTGTGTATTAACGAGCCCTCCAGGTCCTGCTGCATGCTCAAGTTTGAGAACCAGTAATTTATTATTTATTTATTATTATTTTTTGAGACAGAGTCTTGCTCTGTTGCACAGGATGGAGTGTAGTAGCATAATCTCGGCTCATTGCAACCTCCACCCCCCAGGTTCTAGCACTTCTTCTGCCTCAGTCTCCTGAGTAGCTGGGACTACAGGGATGTCCCACCACACCTGGCTAATTTTTGTATTTTTAGTAGAGACAGCATTTCACCATGTTGGCCAGGCTGGTCTCGAACTCCTAACCTCAGGGATTTGCATGCCTTGGCCTCCCAAAGTGCTGGGATTACAGGTGTGAGCCACCATGCCAAGCTGAGAACCACTAATTTAAAGAGTAACTGTAGTTCTCCAGCCCATGGCCTCCTCTGAGGCTCCCCACTTTAGCTGTCACAGGCTTTGTCCCTCTTGGTCACTGGTAGGCACAGTCACTCACCTGAGGAGAGGCCAGACGAGAGGAACCACAGTGGAGGGAAGGTGAATAATGGCTTATGGGAGCTTTGAGATGGCTCCAAAGACACCACAAGTCCCTGAACTTAGCCAACTGAGGGAGAAAAGAATCTATGCTTGAGTTTGGGCATTGACGCCACAGGTTTCTCCAAACTCTCACAAAACTTTAGTCTCTCTCGCATCTCCTGCCACAGATCCTGGGCCTCATCATTGTTCGAAGGCTTCTGGATTTCATTTTTTCCCAGCACGACCTGGCCTGGATTGACAACATCCTCCCAGAGAAGGAAAAAAAGGAGACAGACAAGAAGAGGAAGAGAAAGAAAGGAGCCCACGAGGACTGCGATGAGGAGGTGGGGAAGAAGTGAGGCCAGGGCACAGAGGAGAAATCATACGACCTTCCCTCCACTTTTGCCAGGGCTAGGGAGAGGGTGGCTTCTTGGGTGGCCTCCAGCATGCCTAGGCCCAGTCCAGGATGGGCTGAGCATCTGCTTGTTTTGTTCCAGGGTGCTGAGGGCTCTTCTGTTTATGTGAATATCCTCGGGGTGGGCCAGAGTGAATGAGGCTCCTTGTCCAGGGAAAAGGTGAGCAGCCATGCTCACTCTTCCCCTCACTATGGGCTTAACTGCCATGATCACGGCAAGCAGGTTCCTGTGGGAAGGGCCGGGAGGCAGCTCCAGCATGATAGGAGGTTATGAAAACTGACCTCCAAAGAGTAGAGCAGGCCTGGGGAGAGGCATCTAATGGGGACTTATAAGTAGAGTGGACTCCAGACAGGCAGGAGGGGCTGGGAACAAGCTTTGCTTTGTCATTCCCTAGGGTCCTGGGGACAAAGATGGGGAAAGAGGCAGGTATCCTCACCGAAAGGAGAGTGGCTACATTTCCCAGATGCCTAGGATAATATGGTTGCCCCATCTGCCCCCTCTTCTCCCATGTTTGCTTCCCATTTCACACACACACACACACACACACTCACACACACACACACACATATATAATTTATTGCATTTTAGGTTTTGGGGTACATGTAAAGAACATGCAGGATTGTTGCATAGGTACATACATGGCAATGGGGTTTGCTGCCTCCATCCCCATCACCTATATCTGGCATTTCTCCCCATGTTATTCCTCCCTAACTCCCTAACCCCCACTGTCCCTCCCCTAGTCCCCCGCCACAGACCTCAGTGTGTGATGCTCCCCTCCCTGTGTCCATGTTTTCTCATTGTTCAACACCCACCTATGAGTGAGAACATGCAGTGTTTGATTTTCTGTTCTTGTGTCAGTTTGCTGAAAATGATGGTTTCCAGGTTCATCTGTATCCCTACAAAGGACATGAACTCATCATTTTTTATGGCTGCATAGTATTCCATGGTGTATATGTGCCACATTTTCCCTGTCCAGTCTATCATCGATGGGCATTTGGATTGGTTCCAAGTCTTTGCTATTGTAGACAGTGCTGCAATGAACATACATGTGCATGTGTCCTTATAATAGAACGATTTCTAATCCTTTGGATATACCCAGTAATGGTTTTGCTGGGTCAAATGGAATTTCTATTTCTAGGTCCCTGAGGAATCACCACACTGTCTTCCACAATGGTTGAACTAATTTACACCCCCACTAACAGTGTAAAAGTGTTCCTATTTCTCCACATCCTCTCCAGCATCTGTTGTCTCCAGATTTTTTAATGATCACCATTCTAACTGGTGTGAGATGGTATCTCAATGTAGTTTTGATTTGCATTTCTCTAATGACCAGTGATGATGAGCATTTTTTTCATGTTTGTTGGCCTCATATATGTCTTCTTTAGAGAAGTGTCTGTTCATATCCTTTGCCCACTTTGGGTTTCTTTTTTTCTTGTTAATCTGTTTTAGTTCTTTGTAGATTTTGGATATAAGTCCTTTGTCAGATGGGTAGATTGCAAAAAGTTTTTCCCATTCTGTTGGTTGCCACTTCACTCTAATGATTGTTTCTTTTGCTGTGAAAAGAAGCTCTTAGGTCTCATTAGATCCCATTTGTCTATTTTGGCTTTTGTTGCCAATGCTTTTGGTGTTTTAGTCATGAAGTCCTTGCCTATGCCTATGTCCTGAATGGTTTTGCCTAGGTTTTCTTCTAAGGTTTTTATGGTGTTTGGTCTTATGTTTAAGTCTTTAATCCATCTGGAGTTAAATTTAGTGTAAAGTGTCAGGAAGGGGTCCAGTTTCTGCTTTCTGCACATGGCTAGCCAGTTTTCCCTAGACCATTTATTAAACAGGGAATCCTTTCCCCATTGCTTGTTTTCATCAGGTTTGTCAAAGATCAGATGGTTGTAGATGTGTGGCACTGCGAGGACTCTGTTCTGTTCCATTGGTCTATATCTCTGTTTTGATACCAGTACCATGCTGTTTTGATTACTGTAGCCTTGTAGTATAGTTTGAAGTCAGGTAGCATGATGCTTCCAGCTATGTGGGCTGTCTTTTGGTTCCATAGGAAGTTTAAGGTGGATTTCTCCAGTTCTGTGAAGAAGGTCATTGGTAGCTTGATGGGGATGGTGTTGAATCTGTAAATTACTTTGGGCAGTGTGGCCATTTTCACATTATTGATTCTTCCTAACCATGAACATGGAATGTTTCGTCATCTGTTTGTGTCCTCTCTTACTTCATTGAGCAGTGGTTTGTAGTTCTCCTTGAAGAGGTCCTTTACATCCTTTGTTAGTTGTATTCCTAGGTATTTTATTCTCTTTGTAGCAATTGTGAATGGCAGTTCATTCTTGATTTGACTCTCTTTAAGTCTCTTATTGGTGTATAGGAATGCTTGTGATTTTTGCACATTGATTTTGTATCCTGCGACTTTGCTGAAGTTGCTTATTAGTTTAAGGAGATTTTGGGCTGAGACGATAGGGTCTTCTATATATACAATCATGTTGTCTGCAAATAGAGACAATTTGACTTCCTCCTTTCCTAATTGAATGCCCTTTATTTCTTTTTCTTGCCTAATTGCTCTGGCTAGAACTTCCAATAGTTTATTGAATAGGAGTGGTGAAAGAGGGCAGCATCCTTGTTTAGTGCTGGATTTCAAAGGGAATGCTTCCAGTTTTTGCCCATTCAATATGATATCGGCTGTGGGTTTGTCGTAAATAGCTTTTATTTTGAAATACATTCCGTCAATACCTAGTTTATTGAGAGTTTTTAGCATAAAGGCTGTTGAATTTTGTTGAAGACCTTCTCTGCATCTATTGAGATAATCATGTGGTTTTTGTCCTTGGTCTGTTTATGTGGTGAATTAAGTTTATAGACTTGCGTAAGCTACTGCAAATCAATCCCTTCCCATTTTATCCCCAAAACACTCAGGGAGTCAACAGATAAGGGACCAGTCCAGAAATTATAGTGAATCACAAAACATGAGGCAGAAAGATTCGTAATATTCACGTGTTCATTACATATGATGAAACTGTCCCTGCAAAAGGAAGTGGCTTACCCAAAACGGACATAGAGCTAAATTTCTAAGAGGGAATTAAGAAAATAATTCCTGACTTTGCTGATCTCTGATATGCTAAGCTGCCTGTGCCATCTCCTTATGCTGTGCCTGGCTCCCGATCTCCCAATTTGACCCAAACTCATGTCCCTGCATTCACCCTGTCCTGTTCTCCTGATTTTGCTTCATTCAGCTGAAACCTGTTCAAGGAAAATCCCTTCTGATTGGACTGGTGGCGATTAAACCATCTTCTCATCAGTCAGAACTCCCCTGGCCCTCTTACTGTGCTCTTCCAGTAAGAGTCCCATAATGCATGTGTTTTGTAGATGATTTGTAAAGGTGGGTTCTGAAAACAAAGAAACAGAGACTAAGTGCCTTTTAAAGGCAAATACTTCTTTCATTAATTCTTTCAATAAATATTTGAGTGGCTACCACATGCAAAGAACTATTACAGAGTTGGGAAAAAGAATCTCTGAATTATATATCAATGGAAAAACAGGATTCAATTTATACAAATTCATTTTACTTGTCTTTATAGCAACACAGTTATTGTGTGAAGTTCATTCCCAAGTGACTGGTTGCTGTGACAGATAAAACTGTTTTGATGAGTAACATTCCTGGAAGAGCTCCGCTCTGTCCAATGGCATGTGTGAGACAGCAGGCTAACTGTGCCCATTCCCTGTCAGTAGGCCCCAGAGTGTTTGCAGCACCCACTGTTTAGTCTAGAGGTGAAGAGAATGGTGGTTTTCACTGCCTATGGATGCATTTTCCATCTTGGCAAGAAAGCCAAATTGTTTGCTGGGCACAGTGGGGCACATCTGTAATCCAATCACTTTGGGAGGCTAAGGCAGGCAGATCACAAGGTCAGGAGTCCAAGGCCAGCCTGGCCAGCATGGTGAAAACCCGTCTCTACTAAAAATAAAAAAAAATTAGCCAGGCATGGTAGTGGGTGCCTGTAATCCCAGCTACTCGGGAGGCTGAGTCAGAAGAATCACTTGAACACAAGAGGTGGAGGTTGCAGTGAGCTGAGATCACGCCACTGCACTCCAGCTTGGGCGATAGAGACTCTGGCAAAAAAAAAAGAAAAAGAAAAAGAAAGAAAGAAAAGAAAGAAAGAAAGCCAAGTTGTTGTGTTGGTGGTGTTTATCCTCTTTTCCCACTGTTTTTCTCCAGCCCCAGTTCCCTCCTCCCTCAGTTATAAAGATTTCCATGGAAAGTGTCCAATCAGATCCCCAAAATGGTATCCACTGCATTTCCAGTAAGTAAAACACATGCTATCTCTCCCTTCCTCCTTACTACTAATCCTCTATGTCTTTCCCTAAGGAACTTTCATCTGTAACTCAGGGGGATTTAATCATTTTGGATGCTAGAGCAGTGGTCCCCAACTTTTTTGGCATAAAGGACCAGTTTTGTGGAAGATTAATTTTTCCACAGACCAGTAGGGAAGTGGGGAATGGCCTTGGAATGAGACTGTTCTACCTCAGATTCTCTTAAGGAGTACACAACCTAGATCTCACTCATGCACAGTTCACAACAGGGTCCTCACCTTTATGAGAATCTATTGCTGCCACTGATCCCACTGAAGGTGGAGCATAGGAGTTAATGCTAGCTCGCCCATGCTCGCCTCCTGCTGTGCAACCTGGTTCTGATACTGTTCCGTGACCTGGGGGTTGGGGACCCCTGTGCAACAAGACCCCTGTCCTAGGCAGAGACCAGAGAACTGGGCTGCCAGGTCTGACACTCCAACCAGATGGAAGCCCCAGAGCAAAGGCTGCAGACTTGAATGACTAATCCTCACTTTACTTGAGGCAAAATCCCTCATTCCCTCCTTTCCCCAGATCCCTGTGGCACTTCCTGGCCCTCCTCTGTGTTACGACCACATCAGTCTAAACATGGCCCACTAGGCCTCCCATGTTTCCAGCGGCTGTTGAAATGGTTGAGAGCTCAGAACCAAGCTTTCCCCATTAGAGAAATAGGTAGCATAGTACTTAGGTTATAAGTCAGGCAACACTGGAAGTCCCCGTGGTGGTTCTGCTGTGCCTCTGGGTCAATCCTCAGCACCCTCTGTCCACTGAGAGGGAGGCTGCATGGGAGGGATTGGGCATTGCTTACAGAAATTCTGGGTTTCTATTACTGCCTTTAAGCCCTCCCAGCCTCAGCTCCCTATAGGTGGCCAGTCCTATCATCCAGGCAACATAGCCTGTCATGAGTCTTCTGAAAGATCCCTACCTGAGTCCCAACCCCAGTGCTTCTAATAGAAGGCTTGCCACTTTCGAAGACAGATTAGGGGCAGGTAGCCAGGGTGAGCTTCCCATTAGCACTATCCATCATAGCTACCTCAAGATCTTGAGTTTCTCAGACTCCTCCCCTGCTCACATTTATCCCTCTTCCCTGGCCCTCCCATGCCTCACACCCCCTAACCCCAACTGAGAGCCCTCTGCGTGAAGAACTAACTAAACCAGAAGCCACACATCTCTGAGGCCCCATATTCCTCTTGCATAATGTTGGCCATAGGGTTAGAGAAGGAAAAGAGAGGAAATGGTGGGGGAAGCCCGGAGGAATATGGTGCTCAAACCTGCTCCACATCTGACATTTTCATTTTCCTGCCAGGAAAAAGATCTTCCAGTTGGAGTTACTCACTCTGATTCTTCCTTCAGTGACACAGAACTTGATCGAAGGTAAACACTGTTAGGTAGACTCCTTGGGTATCAGGTAAGAGACTAGGCAATGGCCAGGAAGGCGGAGGGTCTAGGATTTCCCAGGCTAACCGTCCTCTCAGAAGGTCCTTGCTGGCCCAAACTGGGAGACAAGGGCTGACAGACCTGACTCATCATTCATAGCCGAAAAACAAATGTGTCTTCTTACTGAGATAACAACACGGTTACAACACAAAGGTGTTCAACTTTAGCAAAGGAAATTCTTATAAAAGATTAGGTAGAACACAAATTGAAAGTACATGTTGACAAAAAGAAAACAGAAGAACTAGGCATGGCTTAAGTGTAGTATCACTGAAAGCCAGGATAAATGAACACAAAGGATCAAAACCCCGGGTACTCAGTAGAATGAATTAACAGTAGGGTTAATTAGCAAAGGTCAGAAAGGTCATGGAGGAAAGCCAACATCTGAGATCAGGTGGAGACAGGGGCTGTCTAGAATAAGTTCAAGGCCAGTTGCCAGGAGCCCCCATGCCAACAATGTGATTCGGTTCTTCACAAGAAGCCACCCATGAAAAAGGTGACTCTGATGACACACAGTGGGAATTCTGTGACAAACACAGAAAAGAGGAATTCAGAAGCAAGAAAGCCTTTACTTCATTTTCACTTGCGGAGATGGCAGGAGCAGTCCCACTCCTACCTAGTGCCCCAGAATGGACAGGAATCAAACACTAACTAGAGCAAAGGTTATTCCAAGTCTAGAAGCAGATCACTCCAGACACAGAGGGCACTCATCCAAGAGTTTTTTGGGGAAACGGGGCAGGGGATATTCTGATTTATAAGAGACAGAACTATTTGCATTAGAGCCCTGTTCTGGGGGATGGGTTCAAAACACCAAGAACTACATAATCCTCTTTCCTACTTCTCGTTCAGCATCACCTTGCACTTCAAAATCTCCTGTCCAGCTTCACCTGCTTTCAACTACTCACGGAACCCAGTGTTCATGGTGCCACAGGTGAAGATAGAGATGGAGTCAGACTATGACTTCACAGACATGGACAAATACCGAAGAGAAACTGACAGCGAGACCACCCTCTAGGATGAAGCAGCTTCAACAGGACTGGAGATGGAGGGCCTGGTTTAGTCTTAATTGGGAGGGTCTGAACTTATCTGTGCCTGTTTCCTTCTTTATCAAACAGAGAGAGTCCTGCCTAATAGAAAACTGGAGATCTGTTGATCGAAGTACTGCTTAGATGCAAAGCTCTCCCCTTCCTTTTGTAGTAATGAAAATACCTAAAGCTAAATATTATATTTTATTTTAAAATGCAGTCGGCATAGAAATTCTAACACTAAGATAAAGGGGTTAGTCAATTCATAATTTAAAACAAATATCAATTAAAAATTTTTTAAAAGTTAGATTTAAATGTAGATGTTCTCGAACTTGTAATATACTGTTACTAGACCATCTTCGGAATATTTGGCAATTTTGCATATTAAGAAATGCTGAAAAGATCCTATCTTTTCTGTCACATCCAATTTCCTAAGGGTTGTATGAAAAGTTTGAACCGGCTGGGTGTGGTGTCTCACGCCTGTAATCCTAGCACTTTGGGAAGCCAAGGTGGGCGGATCACAAGGTCAAGACATCAAGACCATCCTGACCAATATGGTAAAACCCCGTCTCTACTAAAATACAAAAAATTAGCTGGCAGTGGCAGCCCGTGTCTGTAGTCCCAGCTACTCAGGAGGCTGATGAAGGAGAATCACTTGAACCTGGGAGGCAGAAATTGCAGTGAGCCAAGATCACGCTACTGTACTCCAGCCTGGGCAACAGAGTGAGACTCCATCTCCAAAAAACAAAGTTTGAATCATCTGCATTATGGGCCTTGCTCCAGAAGTGTGACTGGGGCTTTCCCAGATTGAAAAGCCAGTTCCAAAACTCTGTTAATGACAGAACCAATGCATTTGAATGGATAAATGTTTCTGAAATAAAACAGTTCTTTTAAAGTGAAATTTGAAACCACGTTAAGTCAACAAAATGATCATTTAAATTAGTATCACTGGTTTTTCATACCTGGAATCATATTTCTTGATACATTTGGGTAGGTCCTTCCTGCAAATTTTCAATGTTTATTCCCAAAGTCAAACTCTCATTCCCACAAATACAGGTTAGACAGAGGTAATGGCATGTTTTACCTTAATAACTTCACAATATTAATCAACCTAGTACTTTAAAGGAATGATTGGAAACTATTTGGGAAGATTAAAACCAGTTTCAATGAAGCAAACCTATTCCTCATGAGACTTGAGATCAGTCATTTTACCTTCAATCCACATTGATGAACACCAACCCTGTTTATCTAATGCCTATGATGTGCCTGACAGCCACAGTGCATCTGACTTACTTTCTCCCAAACAACTGATTTGAACCTTCAGTAAATCACTTTGATTAGAGTTGTATTTGCTGAAGATGACAAATGCAGGTGCTTTTTTTAAAGAAAAATGACACTAGATCATTAACACCTTGAGTACCAGGACAAGTAATTGCCTCTGTAGTCCCCAGAGTCTAATATAGTGCCTGGTCCATAGAAAGTGCTCAATAAGTATTTGATTAATCTCAGAGCTCCCTTTCAAAGGATACTGCCAAGAGGTAAAGCTCTAAACCTCTACCATTCCTACTGATAGCAAAATTTCTTAGCTAATCTAGAACCATCTCCTATGCTTAAGTATAAATTTTTGCCAGCCACACATGTAATCCCACTACTTGGGAGCCTGAGGTGGAGGAATCAGTAGAGGTCAGGTCAAGATGAGCCTGGGCAACATAGTGAGACCCATCTCTAAACAAATGTTTAAAAATTACCCAGGCATGCTGGCACAAGCCTGTAATCCAGCCACCTGGGAGGCTGAGGCAGGAGGATCATTTAAGCCCAGGAGTTCAAGGCTACATGCCACTGTACTCCAACTATGATCATGCCACTGTACTCCAGCCAGGGAGACAGGTGGAGCCCATGTCTTATAAACAATAATAATTTTTTTTAGGCCGGGCACAGTGGCTCACACCTATAATCCCAGCACTTTGTGAGGCTGAGGTGGGTGGATCACAAGGTCAAGAGATCAAGACCATCCTGGTCAACAAGGTGAAACCCCATCTCTACTGAAAATACAAAAAATTAGCTGGGCATAGTGGCGCATGCCTGTAATCCCAGCTACTCAGGAGGCTGAGGCAGAATTGCTTGAACCCAGGAGGCGGAGGTTGCGGTGAGCTGAGATTGTGCTCCAGTCTGGGTAACAAGAGCGAAACTCAATCTCAAAAAAATAATAATTTTTTAAAAAATTGTCATCCGCACAAATCCTGGGGGAGCTAACAATCCACCCTTCACATTTCAGTTTTAAAACCTGGGTGATTTGGAATAGGACTTTGTCCAAATTAAATTGTAGAAATGCTATGGATTCAAGAGTAAACCTGCTTGATTAATCAAACAAGCTGGAAAACTATTGTTAATTTCTTTGTTGTAAATTGATCACTGTAATTTTACCTTACATGTCATTTATATTTTGTATATACATGAACATTTTAACTCCCATAGCTTTTAACAGGTTGACATAATACTTCTCCATGCAGTAAGTCAATAATTTTTCCCACCTGTAACTGTAACTCAATAAAATTCAATCCTGTCTGGTCATGTTGCTCCATGTTTAACAATTGAGGTAAGTAAGCAGGCATAGCTTATAGACATGAGCTATACTTCACTTACAAAAACATCTCCAGCAAACTATCTAAACTTCTTTCAATTCCAGAGAACTGTCAAAAGAGTAACACCAGCTGGCAGAAGAACAAGGACGGAGGTAGGTCAACTCAACTCTTCTTTCTGCTTCAAGCTGCCTAGAGCAGGAGCTACTTCTGCTTGCATGAAAGCCAAAATGGTCAAGGAACCTATCCCCACCTCAAGTATTTCACAGATTAAGCTTCTAGCTTGGCACAAGCTGTTGGGATATAAGACTGAAGGACTGGCCAGCTGTGATTGCTCACATCTATAAATCCTAGCACTTTGGGAGGCCAAGACAAGTGGATCACTTGAGGTCAGGAGTTCGAGACCAGCCTGGCCAATGTAATGAAACCCCATCTCTACTAAAAACACAAAAATTAGCCGGGCATGGTGGCATGCACCTGTAATCCCAGCTACTTGGAAGGCCGAGGCACAAGAATTGCTTGAAACTGAGAGGCAGAGATTGCAGTGAGCTGAGATCCACTGCATTCCAGTCTGGAAAACAGAGTGAGACTCAGTCTCAAAAAAAAAAAAAGACTGGAGGACTAGGCTGGGCATGGGTGGCTCATGCCTGTAATCCCAGTCCTCTGGAAGGCTGAGGCAGGAGGAATTGATTGCTTGAGGCCAGGAGTTTAATATCAGCCCAGACAATATAGCAAGAACCCATCTCGACATAAAAAAGAAAAAAAAATATCTATTTAAGGCTATAGAAGTAAGTGTTACTGAATATAGCAATATCTACATTGATTACATTAGAGGAAAAAAACTCTGGTTAGGTTGCAACTAGGAGTCATAGGAAGACAGAATTTCAGAAATTCATACCATACCAGACAGATGTATTTTATTAAAAAAGAGAAAAATAATCTTTAATCAAAAAGTCTGATTAAATTCAATATTAACTCAAACTCTTAAAAATTTTCTGGAAAAGTCAACAGGGTGAATCACAGAAAAGCAGGCAGCGGCTGACAGTTCTTTGGTGGAAAAGTAAGTTGCAAACTTACCTAAGCTGCCCACATGATTATCAAGCCAAGTTTGTTTTTCAAAAATAGATTTTAAAATATACCAAAGAAACTATATAATTCAAAAATTTAACAATGAAGTTAAAGTATATAGCAAAAAACAAATATGACAATACACATGAATAATGTATAAAAGAAGCCTTTCAATCCTAGAAAACTAAAATCGAGAAAACTTACTGAAGGGTAACAAACATAAAATGAGGACTAATAGCAAGGAACAATCCTAAACATTTTCCCAGTGACTGACTAAGCCTCAAAAAGACAGCTTAGCAAAACAACATGTAGGTTTTTTTCCTAGCCAATTCAGTTCTATTTAGATAAATCTGGTTACCAATCAATACATATATAAATTAATTTCTTTCTACTCAATTACTACCATTTTTTTCTTTTTCACCTTTCCCCTAATTTCCTCTAGCAACACTTTTCCTTTGGTTTGATCAGCTGAACTCAAAAGGTTTGGTACCTAAAATGAGGATCAACTCTTATTGGAATAGCACTTGGGAAATGCAATCCTAGAAAAGGCAAATGTTTAACTGAGGGCTTGACAAAGTTAAGCGTCCATTCTCCATATGACAATGTCTCCCATGTTCATCACTAGGTTAATGGCTGCACTTGGCTAGATCACATGAACCCTGCAGAATACTGGAATGTTCCCTGGCGAGGTACTACAGGTGCATGCACAAACATCCACCCATTTAAGCTTTTAATAAATACAAAGCATCCTTTTAAACAGTTTCAGTAGAATAAATTAAAAATATTGCATTTCTATTGGCCTGCTTTGCTTCTTGAGCTGGCTTGGAGTGTTGTTCATGACACAAGACAGAATAGTTAATTACTGGCTACTCCAAGCTCTTTAAGCTTCAGCACTTCTCGTTCTTCAAGCCTCAGCACCTTTTTTGCAGCAATAATGGTATTCTTCATTAGCATCGCCACCGTCATGGGGCCAACACCTCCAGGAACTGGAGTGATATAACCAGCTTTTTGTCTGACTCCTACATAGAAACAAGACAGGTAGACTGCTTTAATGATGGAAAAGGACATGTATGTACTTTAATATATTATGAAAGAAGCATGCAAGGAAAAAGTAACATACCTAAGTATAAAACTCAAAAAATCACATCTACATCATTCAAGGTTTTGTGAAAACACTAGTAAAATAACATGCACATACAGAATTGTTCAAGGAATATTTATGCATCTAAGTAACCTATAAAGAAACCTATTAAAGAAACATACTTTGCTTATACCCATTACTGGAGACAATTAAAAAAAAACATACCTACTAGGTTAACTGTGTGGGAGCTGTTAGTATAATAATAATAAGCATTATCTCAATACCTGCCTACAGCATTTTCTTAATCTTAAATATAATTTGTCCAAAGCATCAAGCATAGTAATTTTAATTGAGAAGTTAAAAAAAAATTAACCTAAAAAAAATTAAAGTGAAAATCCTTAAATAGCTAGGCATGGGTTTGACTGCTTTAATAAAAACAGAAGCTAGGCAGGTGATGAACAATGAGAACACATGGACACAGGGAAGGGAGTACTACACACTGGGGTCTATTGGGGGGAATAGGGGTAGGGGAGGGACAGCGGGGGCGGGGGAGAGCCGGGGAGGGATAGCATGGGGAGAAATGCCAAACGTGGGTGAAGGGGCGGAAGGCAACAAAACACACTGCCATGTGTGTACCTATGCAACTATCTTACATGTTCTGCACATGTACCTCAAAACCTAAAACGCAATTAAAAAAAAAATTTTTTTAAAAACAGAAGCTAGGAATAGGATTATTCATGCTTGTAATCCCAGCACTTTGGGAGTCTGAGGCAGAGGGTGGGTGGGGAATTGCTTGAGGCCAGGAGTTTGAAACAAGCCTGGGCAACATGGTAAAACCCCATCTCTACAAAAAATACAAAAATTAGCCAAGTGAGGTGGCATGTGCCTATAGTCCCAGCTACTCAGTAGGAGGCTGAGGCAGGAGAACTGCTTGAGCCCAGAAGGCAGAGGTTGCAGTGAGCTGAGATCATGTTAATCTACTCCAGCCTGGGCAACAGAGAGAGACCCTGTCTCAAAAAAAAAAAAAAAAAAAGAAAGAAAAAGGATCATCAGCATAAAACTCAGATAAACATTCTATCTTAAGAACTGAAAGAAGAGGCTGAGGCAGGCGTATCACTTGAGGCCAGGAGTTTGAGACCAGCCTGGCCAACAAAGCCAAACTCATCTCTACTAAAAATACAAAAAATTAGCCAGGCATGGTGGCACATGCCTATAATCCCAGCTACTCAGGTGGCTAAGGCAAGAGAATCACTTGAACCTGGAAGGCGGAGGCTACAGTGAGCAGAGATCAGCCATGCCATTGCACTACCGCCTGGGCAACAGAGTGAGACTTTGCCTCTGAAAAAAAAAGAACTGAGAAGAGAAATCTATTCCAATTATTTCAGGGATAAGGCTTTTTCCTGGGCCATTTTAACTTTCTAGGTCTGTGATCTCTCAGTGTGAAAATGAGAAATCTGTAACACTTTTTTGGGAAACTCCATGGTTTAGAAAAATCATTTCATCAAATTTTCAAACTTGTTAAAAAGTCAAGAAATTGAATTATGAAATAAGTCTAAGAAAAATAAACAATTCCCTGAAAAGTGTATAACTGCTCTAAATTATTGTGATAAAACACCTAAAATAATTCTAAAATGGCTACAATTTTTAAAAAGTTTCTCTAATTCTTTTGAAAAGCATACTAAGGGCAGGCACAGTGGCTCACGCCTGTAAGCTCAGCACTTTGGGAGGCCAAGGCAAGCTCATCACTTGAGGTCAGGAGTTCCAGACCAGCCTGGCCAACATGGTAAAACCCTGTCTCTACTAAAAATACAAAAAAATTAGCTGGATGTGGTGGCACACGCCTGTAATCCTGGCTACTGGGGAGGCTTGAGGCACAAGAATCGCTTGAAGCTGTTAGGTGGAGGTTACAGTGAGCCAAGATGGTGCCAGTGCACTCCAGTCTGGGTGACAAAAGGAGATTGTCTCAAAAAAATAATAAAATGAAAAGAAAAGAAAAGCATACTAGCTGGGTGCGGTGGTTCATGCCTGTAATCCCAGCACTTTGGGAGGACGAGACAGGTAGATCACCTGAGGTCAGGAGTTCAAGACCAGCCTGACCAATATGGTGAAACCCTGTGTCTATTAAAAAGACAAAAATTAGCAGGGCGTGGGGGCAGATACCTGTAATCCCAGCTACTTGGGAGTCTGAGACAGGAGAATTGCTTGAACCAGGGAGGCAGAGGTTGCAGTGAGCCTTTGAGCTTGTGCCACTACACTTCAGCCTGGGCAACAAGAGTGAATCTCCATCTCAAAAAAAAAAAAAATGCATACTAAACAATATTACCAAGGTAACATGAGCAAGTTACATAAAAAGTAAATAATCTATCCTGAATGTCCATGAAAGGTAGGATTTATTGATTTCAGTTTTTAAAATAAAATTATGCCATTACCTTCAAAATCCACATCTCCAACCAACTTGGGTTTGGCAGTTACGGGATCATGAACTCTATTTATTCCCACATCAATAACTGCTGCTCCTTCCTTGATCATATCTGCTGTGATCAGATTTGGAATGCCTGGAAATGGAGACAGGAAAGATCAACTTGTCAGATTCTTATCTAATTTCAATTTCAAGAGACCTAGAAGAACTAATTAACATGTTTTATTAAAACCTGTTAAAAATATTGAGGAACCACTTACTTTTATTATTTATTTTTAGCTTCCAACAGAAAACAAAAGGAACCATTTAAATTTAATACACTAAATATAAATATTTTGGAGCTTTAGAAATAACATTCACCCATCCAGTCTATAATGGAATGCCTGAAACCAGTATTCCAATCACAACTCTATCCTCATCTTTGTAGGCAGCTCAAAGAATCATTATGAGGGGAATGATGAATGGAATGGCAGCTAGGCAGACAAATTCTAAGATGACGGGTACAACATCCTCTTCTGAGGCAAAGTCCTTCCCTCCATCCCCCTTGTGTTCTTACCTGCAGCAGATATTACAATATCTGCAAGAATTGTATGTTTCTTCAACTGCTCTTTGGGAGTATATCGATGAGATATTGTAACAGTGGCATCGCCTAAAAAAAAAAAAACTAGATGTCTTGATTTCTGACACAAAGCTGGGATTGGATTAGGTCTCAACTAGTCATGTCTTTGTAGAAACTCAACATCTCTGAAAAACTACAAACACTGTAGAAACTCAACATCTCTGGATGGCTCACGCCTGTAATCCCAGCACTTTGAGAGGTTAAGGTGAGCGGAAACCTGAGGTCAGGAATTTGAGACCAGCCTGCGCAAGATGGTGAAACCTATATCTACTAAAAATACAAAAATTAGCCAGGCATCATGGTGCACATCTGTAATCCCAGCTACCTGGGAGGTGGAGGTTGCAGTGAGCCGAGATCACGCCACTACACTCCAGCCTGGGCAACAGAGCGAAACTCCATCTCCAAAAAAAAAAAGAAAGAAAGACTTAATGGCTTGTGCCATATTTTCTGGATAGCTAATTGTCATTTACTTTTTTAAAATTAATACCTAATTTTGTATAGTTTTAACCCATTGGTTCCAGCTCGACTGTTTTGAATCATATAATTAAATTTATTCATCCTACTTTAAAGCCTTTCAAGAATTTTACTGTTTCTAAGCAAAATATCACTAAAATTACTCAAGGTTGGATTTTTTTTAAAGTATGTTGAAAGATAATTGAAAATATAGTCTTGCCATTATTTCTGATATAAACATGTAAGGTCATTATTACAATAATTATGTGGTAACTGACTGACAAGGCTTTTCCTCAGACCCAATTAACAGAACTTGACAGGACACATTACAGTCATATCAATCCAATTCTTTGCAATGGCTTAAGATCTTTTCCACTAAATGACACAGAACAGGATACTATCTTTGAATAAGAACTGCTCCTTAGTTCCAGCTATCAAAGCTATAGCTGAAATTTTCTAATTTCCTATAATCATGTTTCTATCAAAACTTAAATTTATTTCTGAAGCTAGTTACATGATAAATGAATAATAAAGAAACTCAGATGACACTGTGTGCAGCTTCTCTACAAAGGTTACTCCCTGAATTGTCTGTTAACAAAAGTACAACACATACAAAGTATAACAGAGTTAATACTTCCAAACACGCACAGGATGACTTCTGAAAGTTCTTACACGAGGAGAAGAGGACAGTGCTCCCTGAAAGCAATTTCCTTACCTCCAGGACGTTCATGTGCCCCATCTGTGTGCAGTAACATTGCAATGGGCATTCCAACATTTTTTGACCTTCCAGCCACAACCACATTCTTCCCTAGGGTTGGAATGCCTACAAAATATATATATATTTACATTAAAAGTAGTGCCAATCCATCTTAGAATGAACACCAAAGGAAAACAAAGTCAAATGGCCTAGAACATGAACCCAATTTTGATCTTGAAGTCACTGAGCTTATTGCCACATCAGTCAACTGGAGCTGTAACTTGCTACAAAATAAGGGCTAAAAGAAAATAGGAGAGAGCACACTGTAGGCTACAAAATATTATAGGAATGTGCACTGTCACCACTATTCAATCTTAAATTTCTCTCACTGAGGGCTGGGCGGTGGCTCACACCTGTAATCCCAGCAGGAGGCAGGATTGCTTGAGGCCAGGAGTTTGAGACCAGCCTGGGCAGCATGGCGAAACCTCTGACTCTTAAAAAGAAAAACAGAAAATTTCCTTCACTACCAGTAGAGTGGGGCATAAAGACAGAAAATTAAAAATTTGAAAGTTTAAGAAAGTTTCCTCCACGGAGGCTTCTGGATTAAAGAGCAAAAACTGTCAAAGGCAACGGTTAAGGCCGGGCAACGATGGCTCATGCCTGCAACCCCAGCGCTTTGGGAGGCTGAGGGGGCAGATCGCCTGAGGTCAGTTTTAGACCAGCCTGGCCAACATGGGGAAATCTGTCTCTACTAGAAATACAAAAATTAGCCGAGCATGGTAGGGCATGCCTGTAATCCCAGCTACTCAGGAGGCCAAGGCACGAGAATCGCTTGAGCCTGGGAGGCAAAGGTTATAGTGAGCCACTTCACTCCATCCTGGCTGACAGAGCGAGACACTCAATTAAAAAACAAAAAAAACCTGTTAAGAGAGGTAAACTCTGCGGAATAGGACTAGAGGACACCGGGTCGGGTTTCCACTCTTTGGAACTGTATGAGTTTTTACCATTTGCAGGTACTACTTTTATAATATTAACACAGACGTACAATTCTGGGATATACCTACCAGTTCGCTTAATTATTTCCCACACACCCCATGGGGTAGCTGGTAACATGGAATACTGGTCCAAACACATTCGCCCTACATTAATTACATGAAAGCCATCAACGTCCTTGTCTGGAGAAACAGCATTGCAGATCTTTCTTTCATCAATATGCTCTGAAAAAGAAATCAGCACAGCTGCCTTAAATCACCACTGTATAGTCAGCACTGCCTGACTCCAGCTTATGTAGAAGAATATCCATTCTTCTACAGCTTGCCTCTGAGATGTACTTCATCGGCATGGAAGGAACTCACATAAGCAAAGCCAAACACCAAGAGCAAAGCCAATACCGTCTATCACAGCTGCTTCCCTCCACTGTCCTTTGTATCAAGACCACAATGCTATATCAAGGGGTAATTGGTATTCTGAGTAGGTCTGTTCCATTTCTAATAAAATAGTCACTCTTTTGAATTTACTTTGCCTTTAAGCCAAATCCACATGAAGAGCCAGGTGATTTCTTTACTCCTGAGAAATCATTTTAGGTAGGGCATGGGAGTTCATGCCTGTAATCCCAGAACTTTGGGAAGTACGGAGTTCAAGACCAGCCCAGGCAACACAGGGAGACTTCCATCTCTGGGAAAAATGTAAAAGATCGCTGGGCGTGGTGGCACACACCCTAGTCCTAGCTATTTGGGAGGCTGAGGCAGGAGGATCCCTTGAACCCAGGAGCTTTGAGCATGCAATAAGCTATGATTGTACCATGGCACTCCAGCCTGGGTGATAAAGCAAGACTTGGGACAGAAGGGGAGGGGAAGGAAAGGGAAAGGCTGGGTGCAGTGGCTCATGCCTATAATCCCAGCACTTTGGGGGAGGCCGACGGGGGCGTGGATCACCAGAGGTCAGGAGTTCGAGACCAGACTGACCAACATGGTGAAACCCCATCTCTATTAAAAATACAAAAAAAATTAGCCAGGTGTGGTGGCCCATGCCTGTAATCCCAGCTACTCAGGAGGCTGAGGCAGGAGCATCGCTTGAACCCAGGAGGCGGAGGTTGCAAGGATCCAAGATCATGCCACTATACTCTAGCCTGGGCAACAGAGAGAGACTCTGTCTCAAAAAAAAAAAAAAAGAAAGAAAAAAAGAAAAAGAAAAGCAGAAGCAGCAGAAATCATTTTAAGTGGTGGAGTCCAAAACTCACCTGGAAGAGGCAGCTGAACAAGGAGGCCATCTACATTATCATCATTATTCAGTTTATTGATTAAATTCAACAATTCTTCCTCTGAAATTGAAGCTGATTTCACAATTGTCTCACTGTTGATTCCTATTATAAGAAATTTTGAGATTAAAAAAATGTTTGAAGCATTTAATGAGCACTGCTATGTTGCCTACCATACTTGGCTACCACACAGGTTTTGTATCATCACACTCACCCCTAAAAGCTGAAGTAGCTCAAGAATCTAAAAAAGTAACTTCACAAATATACACACTAGAGAATACTAGCTTAACACATCCAGTATACCTCATTCTATGCAATCCTGTTAACCTTGTTTTACAGACAGACTGAGGCTCAGAGGTTTAAAAATAAGCAAGCTAATAATACAGTCAGTCTTTCTGGTTCCAAAATCCATGTTCTTTATTCTGCACCACACTACCTCCCAGTGTCTTAAAATGCCATGGCTTGGGCTGGGTACAGTGGCTCAGGCCTGTAATCCCAGCTCTTGTGGGAGGCCAACACGGGTGGATCACCTGAGGTTGGGAGTTCAAGACCAGCCTGACCAACATGGAGAAACCTCGTCTCTACTAAAAATACAAAATTAGCCAGGTGTGGTGGCATGTGCCTATAATCCCATCTACTCAGGAGGCTGAGGCAAGAGAATTGCTTGAACCTGGGAAGTGGAAGTTGCAGAGAGCTGAGATGGCGCCACTGCACTCCAGCCTGGGCAACAAGAGCAAGACTCCATCTCAAAAAAAAAAAAAAAAAAAAAAGCCATGGCCTGCAATTTTCTTTCTTTTCTTTTTTTTTTTTTTTTTTTCCAGAGACGGAGTTTCGCTCTTGTTACCCAGGCTGGAGTGCCATGGCGTGATCTCGGCTCACTACAACCTCCGCCTCCTGGGTTCAGGCAATTCTCTTGCCTCAGCCTCCCGAGTAGCTGGGACTACAGGCACGCGCCATCATGCCCAGCTAATTGTTTGTATTTTTAGTAGCGATGGGGTTTCACCATGTTGACCAGGATGGTCTCAATGTCTTGATCTCGTGATCCACCCACCTCAGCCTTACAAAGTGCTGGGATTACAGGCTTGAGCCACCGTGCCCGGCCAATTTTCTAGAGGTTTCTAAAGGCTTTCAATTAAAAGAGCAGGAGGCCTCAATCCTCAAAGATAAAGAGTAGAGGATACCACGGGCTCACAGACCGGCAACCCCACCCAGCCATGCCAGTGGTTTCAAAGCCCTTCAGAAGTAAAGGCCACGTGCTGCTCAGACCACAGGCCCACAGATGAACAGGCAGAGGCATATCTGAGCCTGCCCACCCACCTCTTGTCTACAGCCACACAGTCTTCTGTGGTACCCTGAGGCCTAGAACACAAACCCCATCATCCAGACCTGAAATGCTTCTAAACTGCACGTTTGTCTTTAGAACCAATCGGTGAAGAACTTGAAAGCTATTTCCCAGAAGTCAGAGTCATTTCCTTCAAATCTATGACTGCGTTCCTGACCTCATCAGTGAGGTCTTCTAAAACTGTATTGCTCAATCATTCCCCCTAAGCCTCTAAGGCTTGAAACTGCAAACACTCAAACACCTCTGCTGGAGAGACCCATTGTTGCTCAAGGAAAGTAAATGTGAAATGTGTTCAAGGTCACCTATCAAATGTAAAGATAAAGAAAAGAACTTGGCAGGAGGTGGGGAGTTGGGGAGAGATAGCATGGGGAGAAATGCCAGATATAGATGATGGGGAGGAAGACAGCAAATCACGCTGCCATGTGTGTACCTATGCAACAATCTTGCACATTCTTCACATGTACCCCAAAACCTAAAATGCAATAGAAAAAGAAGAAAAAGAAAAGAAAAGAACTTGGCTTATATTCTTTACAGAAGCCACAGAGAATACCAAACCAGTATCTCCTGCCCTATTCTATAAACCCCAAAATATATAGCCTGATTTCCTATGACAGAGTTTTGGGATACAGTTCAATCACATCAGCCTCCTCTGCTTGGGTTTCCTGATCAGAAAAAATAAATCATAAATTACAATGGACTTTGCCTCATGTAAACCTCAACTGAGCAACAGCAGTCGGCGTCTGACACATACCCACATCTGCAGCTGCCCTGGTTTTGTTGAGGACATAGGAGTGACTTGCAGGATTCTCGCCAACCAGGATCACGCTCAGGTGTGGCTGTTTATTGCCTGAGGCCACCCACTCTTCCACCTCCTGCCGTACTTCCTGCTTGATCTGCTGGGCCAGTTTCCTTCCAGAAATGACCACGGCTTCATTTCTGCAGAAGGCAACAGAGTCACAAAACCAAATAACTTGAAGTTTTATAAAAAGTAAAACTCTGCCAGGTGTAGTGGCTCATGCCTGTAATCTCAGCACTTCCAGACACCAAGGCGGGAGGATGGCTTGAGCCCAGGAGTTTGAGACCAGCCTCAGCCACATGGTGAAAGCCTGTCTTTGCTAAGTAAATAAATAAATATGTCTAGCTACATATGCAGGGGGATAAAGTTGATAGAAATCATTATTATCATTAATTTGAAGCTCAGAGAGTTTAAATGACTGAGAGCTAGTGCTTGGTCAAGCTGAGTCTCACATCAGTCTCACTCTTAACTGCTACACCATCCAGCGCCCAGATCATTACTAAGTTTTCTGCAAGTTTAATTTGCAATTGTTTGACCCCCTCACCATGAGGTTAAATAGTTTTTTGTTTTTATTTTTTGAGACAAGTTTCGCTCTTCTTGCCCAGACTGGAGTGCAATGGCAGGATCTCAGCTCACCACAACCTCCGCCTCCCAGGTTCAAGCGATTCTCCTGCCTCAGCCTCCTGAGTGGCTGGGATTACAGGTGCCCACCACCACGCCCACTCTAAGCCCAGCTAGTTTTTTGTATTTTTAATAGAGATGGGGTTTCATCATATTCACCAGGCTGGTCTTGAAACTCCTGACCTCAGTTGATCTACCCGCCTCCCAAAGTGCTGGGATTACAGGCGTGAGCCACCACCATGCCCAGGCCAAATAGTTTTTATCTGCTTATATGCCATTTGTAGTTTGTGTTTTGCCCCAGTTGTTAGCAGCCAGGTGTGTATTTCAAATTATTTCCCAGTCAATTGACTTTACTGTTATGGTGCTTTTTAAATAGATAAATTATATTCTGTAGTTAAGTAAATAAACAATACAGGCTGGGTGTGGTGGCTCACACCTGTAATCCCAGCACTTTGGGAGGCCAAAGCTGGTGGATTGCTTGAGGTCAGGAGTTCGAGACCAGCCTGGCTAACATGGCGAAACCACTTCTGTACTAAAAATACAAAAATTAGCCAGGCATGGTGGCACGTGCCTATACTCCCAGCTACTCGAGGCTGAGGCAGAAGAATTGCTTGAACTCAGGAGGCAGAGGTTGCAGTGAGCTAATATCACCCCACTGCACTCCAGCCTGAGTGACAGAGTGAGACTCCATCTCAGAAAAATAAAATAAAATAATATAGATAAGCATATCTTCCTTAAGCAAAATGATCCCATAAAAACAAATCTTTCCCTTTAGATCGCTGTCCTTGGTGTCATGAAAATTGCTCTAATCTCAATAACAATGAAGCAATTTCCTCTTGTACTCTCAAACCTAACATCAAGGTACTGAATAACCTGTAGGGTCAGATAAAATTAATTCTCAAGATAACCGCTAATTTATTTTATTTTATTTTTTGATACGGACTCTTGCTTTGTTACCCAGACTGGAGTGGAGTGGCATGATCTCAGTTCACTGCAGCCTCCACCTCCCAGGTTCAAGCAATTCTCCAGCCTCTGCCTCTGGAGTAGCTGGGAATACAGGCACCCATCACTGCTCCTGGCCGGTAACTGCTCATTTAAATGGGATTTTAAGGCTTTTGAAATCTTTAGGCCTTCAAGTGCTTTTTATTGCATTATGATTAAATACCAACTTTAAACCAAATCTCAACATCTTGGATATAATGCAGTAATCTTATATCTAAACTTTATCTTAATCAGTACTGCATCTTGTGAAGTACTGAGAAATTATCAGCCGAGTGAGGTGGCTCATGCCTGTAATTCCAGCATTTTGGGAGGCTGAGGCAGGTGAATAACAAGGTCAAGAGTTTGAGACCAGCCTGGCCAACATGGTAAACCCTGTCTCTACTAAAAATACACAAATTAGCTGGGCATGGTGGCGCGCGCCTGTAATCCCAACTACTCAAGAGGCTGAGGCAGGAGCATCACTTGAACCCAAGAGGTGGAGGTTGCAGTGAGCTGAAACCACGCCATTGCACTCCAGCCTGGGTAACAGAGAGTCTCCATCTCAAAAAAAAAAAAAAAATTATCATAATCTGGCCAGGCATGGTTGCTCACACCTGTACTCCCACCACTTTGGGAGGCCAAGGCTGGCAGATCACTTGAGGTCAGGAGTTTGAGACCAGCCTGGCCAACATGGTGAAACGCCATCTCTACTAAAAACACAAAAATTAGCCGGGCATGGTGGCAGGAGCCTGTAATTGTCATCTCAGCTACTCAGGAGCTGAGGTAGGAGAATATCTTGAACCCAGGAGGCAGAGGCTGCAATTAGCCGAGATTGCGCCACTGCACTCCAGCCTGCATGACAGAGTGAAACTCTATCTCAAAAAAAAAAAGAAAAAAGTATTATAATCTTATAGCACATCAAATACTTTTACCCAGATTTTACATAATGATACTATCATGGCACGACATATAATAGCATTTAATTTATACCCATGGTATATGAAGAAATTGAAAACATTAACATTCACAATTCCGTTTCGGAATTAAGAGTTGAAGAGGACTTCCTTAAAAGGGTTTTGCTGATACAAATACACCTGGCAACATTCCTGATTTATATTAGTACCCGGAATGCCCATCCTAGGCCAAAAATACATTCCCCATCATGGAATACTACAGAGAGACTACTTTAAAAGGGCTTATAACAGTCATTTATATTGAATGAAATTACATATGTAATGTGCCAGGCATATATGTTCAATAAAACTAATTTCTTACTCTTTTCCCTTGGTTTTATATACATATATACATACACATACACACATATCCTTAAAATATAATAGATACATATACTCAGGGAGATATATATACTATATGTATATACACTCAGTGAGAATGACTTAGCTTGCACCTCATAAAAAGTTTCTTTTGAAAGCAGTAAACTTAGAGAAAATGGTATTAGCACATTCAAATAAATCATATACTAAAGTTAAGAACACAGGGTTCTGGGGAAAGCCAGAGTTCCAAGTCCCAGACTTTGCTTCCAAAAGCAGGTTCTGACTGTTACGCCAATTTTCTTTTTTTTTTTAAAAGAAAGTCAAAGAGTAACAAGAACCAAAAACAAAACCACATGCAATGAATATCTTTCATAGTATAACCGTCAGCCCTCCTCTGCTTCCACAGCTCTGGAAAATGTGAAACACAGCCTTAGGAGTGAGTCATTAACGCAGCATCATCTCTGTTGCTAAGGGGCAGATTAACTGATACCCCAAAATAAACAGGGAGATGGAGACTCATCTCCCATGGGGAATCCAAAACTGTAACTACATTAGCTAACATTTATCCCAGAATTAAATGCGTTCACAGATGTGTTTAGAAAAAAATTCCCAGGGCTGGGCATGGTGGCTCAGGTCTGTAATCCCAGCATTTTGGGAGGTAAAGTTCAAGACTAGCATGGGCAACATGGCAAGACCCTGTGTCTTCTAAAAGTTTAAAAAAAAAAAAGTAGCCAAGCATGGTGGTGCACTCCTGTGGTCTCAGTTACTCAGGAAACTGAGGTGAGAGATCACTTGAGCCCAGGAGGTCAAGGCTGCAGTAAGCCGTGCTTGCACCACTGCACTCCAACCTGACCAAGAGATTCCCTTGCCAAAAAAAAAAAAAAAAAAATTCCATTAAAATAAGTAATCAACAGAACAGGAAGAAGTCAACAGGACTGTTCAAATAAAATCCAGAACTGTGGCTCACGCCTGTAATCCCAGCACTTTGGGAGGCTGAGGCGGGTAGATCACTTGAGGTCAGGAGTTCGTGACCAGCCTGGCCAACATAGTGAAACCCCGTCTCTACTAAAAATACAAAAATTAGCTGGGTGTGGTGGTGTGTGCCTGTAGTTCCAGCTACTCAGGAGGCTGAGGCAGAACAGTTTGAACCCAGGAGGCAGAGGTTGCAATGAGCCAAGATTGCACCATTGCACTCCAAGCCTGGGTGACAAAGTGAGACTCTGTCTCCAAAAATAAAACAAAATTCAAAACTAAAATCCAAGTGAGTAGCATCTTCACTTTCCTTTTAATTCAATAGCTTACAGTACTGTAATTTTCCATGAGAAATCACTATCAAGGCATTTTACAATTCATGATCAAGTGATTTGGGGAAGTTCTGTTATCAATTAATGGTAAAAGTAGAGTGAAGGAAAACACAAGGGAGAACGGAACAAACACCTATTAACACTAGGTATTTTGCTTAGGCTTTTACATATATTACTCTGCTACCTTGGGGCTACTACAACACTGCTATACGGAAGATGAAACTGAAAGCAGTAGAAACAAGATTTAAAGGCAAACTTCCTCCTCTAAAGTTCACTTACTCTGTAACCCCACTGTCTCCAAGGCTACTATTTCTCCAACTATGAGGTTTATGTTCCTGAAACCTCATACCGACCAATAAAGAAAAACAAAAAAAGAACGCAGACTTGTATTTTTAAAAAGATTTAACTTTCACATTTACGCAGCCGGCAGTAAGAAAGCAATACTTGGGAACTGTAAATACCAAATAAGCAGTACAGATGATATGGATTGCTTTCGGAGATGTGGACAAAGCTTACTTGTTCTTTCAGAAAGGTATGAAAAGAGCATTTGTTATTGGAAAATGTAGGCAAACTGGCCCAGTTCTTTAGGTAATGAATGAGAGCATCTTTATAAATCTCTTTTCGACCATGTAAGCCTAAAGGTCTGGTCCACAGTCACAAGAGGCCAGCACTCAGGAAGAGGGAGACGGGGAGAGAACGTACAGCAATGAAAGATGGGGCAGGTCGGAGTCAGACCAAGGACAGCCCTGAAAGTCCCCTCCCACGTCTTCCTTCAAGAACTCATTGTTCCAACAAGCAAGCCCCTTTGAAATGTTTCTAACAGCATTTCCGCACTGACTGGAAATTACACACGTGTTCCACCCCTTGTCAGGAACGTGAGTTCCACTAAGAACAGTTTTTATCATCTCTGAATTTGCACAGTTCGGCATAGTGTCTGGCACACAGTGAACGTTAGATGAAAAAAAGAAGGGGCCAATGTTATAAGGTGCAGGGCTCTAACAATGCCAACAATGCCAACGCTCTAATGATCGACCAAGTCACCTTCCCAAGGAAATCAAAAAATGCAAATAGAGGTTTTCCTTTTCTCCGCCCCAATACATTTTTTCCAATTTTGTTATTGTGGTAAAATTCACATAACATAAAACTTACCAACCTTTTTTTTTTTTTTTTTTTTTTTGAGACACTGTCTCGCTTTGTTGCCCAGACTGGACTGCAGTGGCACCATTACTGCAGTCTCGAACTCCTGGGCTCAAGCAATTCTCATGCCTCAGCCTCAGCGCGCGTCACCACGCCCGGCCCAACAATTTTTAAGTGCAGTTCAGTAGTATTAAATACGTTCATAATGTTGTGCAACCGTCCTCACCATCTCCAGAACTTTTCATCTTATGACTGAAATTCTGCCAGTGCCGCTGAAACGTGGGTACTTGCCACTCTCTATGTCCCCTTTCCTTAAGGCTCTAGGAGCCTCCCAGGGGTTTGACACCTCCGGGTACTCAGCCCGGCACTGACCGGCTCGGGTTGGGGGCAGCCAAAGCCTGGGTGTCCAGAGTCCATTCAAGTTCCGGGAGGGACGGCAGCAGCGTGGGCCACTCCCACCGGTGGAAGGAGGAGGGCGGCGCGGGGACCCCAGCAAGTCAGATCAGGGATTTCATCAGCTGCAGCAGCGCCCTCCGCCGCTAGGGTCCCCGCAAGGGACAGCTGAGGGCTGCTCTTTTGGAACCCCCGCCTGCTCCCCGCAAGACGACTTTCGGCATCCCAGCCAGGGGCTGCCAGCAGCTATCGGAAGGCCCGGCACAAACTGGCGCCTTCTCCTTCGCTCCGCACGCCACCCCCGTCCCGCCCGCCCACTGGCCACGAGCCCCGGCGACGCCCCGAGTCGCCGGAGCGGCTCCCGCTGAAACGCGGGCTCCAGTACCAGCCCTCCGCGTCGAGCAAACGCCCCGGTCAAGGGCTGCGGCGGCGCTCGGTGCCACGTCGTCCCACCACACCCCTCAGCGGCCACCACCGCCGGGGCGGAGATGTTCGGGGAGGGACATCCCCCGGTGTCCCTCAGGGGCCCGGCATGCCCCTCGCCCTCCGTTCCCCTGGGCTTTCCGCGCTGACCGAGTTCCCTGACCCTCTTACCGAACTGCCGCGAGGTGGAAGGAACGAGGGCGGAGGGAGCATCTCTGCGCAGACTGCAGCAGTCGGGAAGCCAACGCGGACATGAGCGAAGGCGCAGGCATAGCCCACGCCAGTGACCGTGTCGGGAGGGAAGCGCGCGCGCGGGCCGAGCAATTATACTGCGGCCTCGTGGCAGGCTCTGCCTCCCTCCGCCACCCATTGGTCCCTGCCACACGCCACTGGCTGTCTGTTGAGGCTTCTGGAGCCGAAGGAGCCAACCGGTTTTCTTTATGAAACGTAAGCGAAGTCCCGAAAAGCCCTGCTTTTGATTGGCGCAAGAAGAGCCCGGAGCGAGGCCCACCTGCCCGACGCTGCTAGTGTCACCGAAGCCCAGACAGCGGGAGAAAAGTTCATTCATTCGTTCGTTGAACAGTTATCTGAACGCCTAATGCGTGCCAAGCACTGTAAAGGGTGGATGAAAAGACAAGCTGATCCAACGAATAGAAGTAGAAGGAATTATAGAGTTAGAAAATCACCATTTAGCAAAATCATAGTAAAAACTGATTAAGAATTGTTGCAATGGAGGAAGGGCTTACAGAGTGCCTAAATAACAATGGTTGCAAGTACTGGGAACAGTAAACCGCGGCAAACTGTGTCAGGCCACTGGGGAGGCAAACTTCTCTAAGCCTCCATGTTCCAGCTGCAGAGTGCCCTTGACTCTGTTACAGTACAAAACATGCTCACGGGCTTAAAACCCCTTTTGTAGCATGACAAAGTAACCAGACTTGTAGGCTCCTTTTGAGACTCACTCCCTCCGGCTGCGGTGGCTGCGGCTGCGCCTAAAATACAATCTTTAGATAACCACATGCTTCTGCTTTTCAAAGTTTCTCACAAAGCCGTCACTGCTAGCAATCTAGAATGACACGTCAGTTTCTGTTCACCAAAGATTGCTCCAGGGTCATGCCACCCTCTCTCCACTATCACATCACCTTCACCCCACCATCTGCTGACTGCTCAAAGTGATTGTAACCCATAAATACTGTAGGGAACCTAAACTCGGGGCCTTCACTGCCTCCAGTATAAAGTGATGGTCACATGGTCCAACTTTCATTCTTAATCTGTCTTTTTCTCATTCCTTTGTCGCCACCGAACTCAGGGTACCCATGGTGGGGTGTAGGGGCTGGTTCTCTACAAGAGTCAGTAACGGATGTCAAAACAACTTGGTGAAAGTTGGATGAGGAGCAAGATATTTGCATAGAGAGTTGCCAGATCTGGCAAATAAAAACACAAGATGCCCAATCAAATTCGAATTTTAAATAAACACTTTTGGGAGATCATATTTATACTTTAAAAAGTATTTGTGGTTTATGTGGACTTCAGATTTAACTGGGCTTCCTGTATTTTTTCTCGCAAACTTTTACATGGTCTCAAAGTATCTCTCCCACAAAGAAATTTAAGAACAAAAAAGGAGGGCCAGGCGTAATGGCTCACACCTGTAATCCCAGAACTTTGGGAGGCTGAGGTGGCAGATCACCTGAAGCCAGGAGTTCAAGACCAGACTGGCCAACATGGTGAAACCCTGTCTCTGCTAAAAACACAAAAAATTAGCCGGGTGTGGTGGCGCCCGCCTGTAGTCCCAGCTACTAAGGGAGACTGAGGCACAAGAATCGCTTGAACCTGGGACATGGAAGTTGCAGTGAGCCAAGATCATGCCATTGCACTCCAGCCTGGGCAACAGAGTGAGACTCCATCTCAAAAAAAAAAAAAAAAAAGGAAAATGCTAAATTTACAGTGAAGAAACCTGACAGTTACTGCCTCAACCGAGTAATCAAAGTTAGCACCACCCAGTAATGGAACTCACATTATGTACCTTCTGATAGGCTGCACTGAGGAGACACATCAATTCGTAGCTCTTAACAAGTCTGTATACTTAATCAAGTGAGTTTTCTAAACCAGTGAGTCTCCTAAAAGTGGTTACAGATTCTTCATTTCACATTGAGATGAGAAATCACAGATTAGAATGTTAAAACTGTCCAGGGAAAAGAAAAACAGTCCTGAAGTGTTGGAACACACTTGTAGATCTTAATCTATTCACAAGGAAATGTCAGACAAGTCCAAAGTGAGAGATATTCTACAAGATAAATCACTTATACTCTTGACAGCTAGAAGGCCATGAAAGACAAAGAATGAGAAACTGTTTTCAATTAAAGAAGCCTGGACATGACAGCTAAATGCTGTTGATTCTGGATCAGATTCTGGACCAAAACCTTTTTGTCTTTCTTTTTTTCTCTGTTTGCTACAGATAACATTATAAGACAATTGGCAAAATAGGAATAAAGTCTGCAACTAACTAATAACATTGTATCACGATATTGTTGATTTCCTGATTTAACTAATTGCATTGCGAAAATGTAAGAGAATGTATTGCACTTGCTTCTAGAACTGAAGGACCATGCCTGCAACTTCCTTTTGAAGAGTTCAGAAAAAAACAACGTTTTGTATCTATGAGTTGACTAGGGCTGCCACAACAAAATAACACTGACTGAGTCGTTTAAACAACAGAAATGGGTGAGTGCAGTGGCTCACACCTGTAATCCCAGCACTTTGGGAGGCCGAGGCAGGCGGATCACCTGAGGTCAGGATTTTGAGACCAGCCTGGCCAACTTGGTGAAACCCTATCTCTACTAAAAATACAAAAATTAGTTGGGCATGGTGGTGCGTGCCTGTAGTCCCAGCTTGTTCGGAGGCTGAGGCAGGAGAATTGCTTGAATGCAGTAGGTGGAGGTTGCAGTGAGCCAAGAGAGCGCCACTGAACTCCAGCCTGGGTAACAGTGAGACTTGGCCTAAAAAAAAAAAAAGGAAGAGAGAAATATATTTTCTCACAATTCTGGAGGCTAGAAATAAAGGTCAAGGTGTTGGCAGAATTAGTTTCTCCTGATGCTTGTAGTCCTTGGCTTGCAGAGCTGCCTGCTTGCTGTGTTGTGGCCTTTGCTGTGTGCACATGCAACCCTCATATCTCTCTCTGAATGTCTTTTTGTGGGTCAAGATGGCCAGGGGGAGACCTATGTTAATTCTAGCTAAATAATTATAAGCTTGCTTGGCTCAGAATACACAAAGTTTATATACCAAACTGAACTGTATTATTACTGGTGCAGTTAATTAGAAATCAAGCGGCAACAGAAGGCCTAAGGTAAAGACCATCTGAAAGCACAGTAACGACGGGGAACACCTCGGGGTGGCTGCAGAGCAGGCAAGATACTGCTCTGGTCCCACAAATGCCTTCTCAACATAGAGACTGCCCCAGGGCCTTGTATAGAGGGCTTATGCAAAGATCTCTGAAAATGGAGACCACCTCTACTCACAAGATCTGGGAGGGTTTTTGCATAAGGGGGCTGGCAAGGAGGAGAAAAGCCTTGCAGGGCAGAGATTATGGAACACCCTAGGCTCTGCCTAGGTTCTCAGAATATGGAGTGATTTTAATTGCTCTATGTCCTCAATGCTCTGGAGATAAAAGCCCCTTGATGCATTGGAAGTGGTCAGACTGGGTGGCTCCTCATCCGCTATATTTCTGATGCAGCTGCACCCTAATAACAATTGGTGATAAACTCAGAGCACTAGTTTAGAATGTCTTAGAAGGATCACAAGTGCTCTCCCTCCATCTTACCTACCCCTTCACCCTCCCCTTCCACACCCATAAGAGCAATGAGATTGTGCACATAATAAAAGTGTGTGGAGCCCAGAGCTCGGGGCCAACACGGTTCCCATGCTTGCGTTGGTCCCTGGACCCATGCTGTAACTTCTACTCCTGTGTCTCTGTCTTTATTTCCAGTTCGCAAACCCTCGTCACCACCGGGACTAAGGTCACCAACGTAGAGGGTTGGGACTGGTGCCCAACATCTTTTATTATTTTACTTTTCTTTGTTGTTGTTTTGAGACATGGTCTCTCTCATCGCCCAAGCTGAAGTGCAATGGCACCATCTCAGGTCACTGCAGCCTCAACCTCCTGGACTCAGGTGATCCTCCCACCTCAGCCTTCCCAGTAGCTGGTACTGTAGTCACACACCACCACACCAGCCTAATTTTCTTTGTAGTTTTAGTAGAGACCAGGCTTCACCATGCTGCCCAGGTTGGTCTTGAACTCTTGGCCTCAAGGAATTCACCCATCTCTGCCTCCCAAAGTGCTAGGATTATAGGCATGAGTCACCATGCCCGGCCTCTCTGAATGTCTTGATTTCTTCTTATAAAGAAACCAGTCAGATTAATTTAGAGCCCACCCTAACGGCCCCATTTTAACCTAATCATTGTTTTAGAGGCTTATTTCCAAATACAATCACATTCCAAGGTCAGAGTGTCAACACTGAATTTTGGAGAGGATACAATTTGGTCCATAACAATGTATATACATAAAACAAGCGCAAATGTAAAATATTAACAACTAGGGAATCTAGGGAAGAGTATACAAGTATTCTTTGAACTTTTACAGTAACCTTTCTGTATGTCTGAAATAATGTCAAAATTTTTTAAAAGACCAGTAATACTTTTGTTTCTTTCTTTCTGTTTTTTTTTTTTTTTTTTAGATGGTGTCTCCCTGTGACACCCAGGCTGTAGTGCAATGGTGCCATCTTGGCTCACTGCAACCTCTGCCTCCCGGGTTTAAGTGATTCTCATGCCTCAGACTGCCAAGTACTTGGGATCACAGGCGTGTGCCACTATGCCTGGCTAATTTTTGTATTTTAATAAAGATGGAGTTTCCCCATGTTGGCCAGGCTAAAAAGACCAGTAATATTTATGCCCTCATGGGGCATGGAGTAAGGCAAGTATACAATGAATAAGAGACTAAGAAGGCCTGGGGCGGTGGCTCACGCCTGTAATCCCAACACTTTGGAGGCTGAGGTGGGCAGATCGCCTGATGTCAGGAGTTTGAGACCAACCTGGCCAACATAGTGAAACCCCATCTCTAGTAAAAATACAAAAATTAGCTGGGCATAGTGGCGGGCAACTGTAATCCCAGCTACTCAGGAGGCTGAGGCAGGAGAATTGCTTGTACCCAGAAGGTGGAGGTTGCAGTGAGCTGAGATTGGCCATTGCACTCCAGTCTGGGCAACAAGAGCAAAACTCTGTCTCAAAAAACAAAACAAAACAGAAACAACAACAAAAAAAATGTACAGGGCAGAGGAAGCAGTCAGATATGCATTG